TCTGGTGGCCCATCCTGACGCAGGGTTTAGGGTTCCTCTGTCAGCCCAGGGTGACCTAAATCCAATGGAGCCTCTACACTCCCTTGCAGAGGTGTGGCAGCAGCTCCTTTTGCTGCCTTTGCCCAGTAAGAACAGGGAGTGAGCACCCCTCAGCTCCCCTATCTTGCCCACGGAGCACTAGACTGTCCCTCCTCCCATCTGCAGATAGGACTATGAGGCGTGCAGAGTGGATGTGGGTTGCCAGGGTCCCAGCTGGTAAGGGGCAGAGCAGGAATTTGCTCCTCAGTGTATATAGCAAAGCTCGACCTATCTATGGGGTGGACCTGGGCTTTGGAGAAAGGGAAGGTGCCAGATGTAGCACATCTTCTCAGCCCAAAGCAGAGATTCTGGCATCCTCTGCAGAGGAGTCACTCCCAGAGGCTGCCAGGGTCTGACACCCCAGCTGGTTCACTCCAGAGCCACCAGAGCCTCTGTCACCGACCAGCGAGCAGAGCGTGGCCTGGGTGGCCAGCACATGGGAGCCAGCACCCTTGTCACTTGCTAAGAAGGCTGCTGTTGGGCTGGCACCACGGTGCCCTGGAACCAGCCAGCAGGCTATTCAGGCCATTGAACCCCTGCTATAGGCTCTACTAACAGGGCCTGGCTGGCGAGAGGAACCCAAGTTAGTGCCAGCAAGGCCCTGCACAGATTCTTCGAGTGCATGCTCCCACAGCTTTACCACCTTGTCAATGCCTACCTTTGCCTGGGTGCCATATGCCACTTAAGTCGATTCTGGTGGAGGAGGTGGGCACTATTGTATGGGCCTCCACCAGGACCCTTGGAGGATGGCACTGTGACTGTACCCCTTGGACAGATGAGAAAACTGAGACCCAAGAGCCTTAAGCAAGCAGGTAGCTCTACCCAGCAGACTGGCTGCAAAGTGTGTATCCTAACCACGAGGCTGCATGCCTCCTCTTGGGCTCTAGGATCTCAGCACATGACAAGAGTGACTTTTGCTCTACCCAGAGGACAAGAGGGAAAGTGCTTCTTGGCCTCCTTGAGCTGAAGGACTGGAATTTGCTGAAGGACTGATGCAGGGTGCTAGGTTTGTCCACCATACTTCCCCAGCACTGGTGGTAGTTTCCATAAATGCTATGTGGTGGGAGGGAGGGATGCGTGGTGGGCCACTCAGCATCTGAACAGGTGTCCTCAGGGCAGCTGTGGTGCTAAGTGCCTAAGATATGTTTTGCCCTCACCAAACCCGGCCAGGAGCTGTGATGATACCAGGTGCATGAGGAGGAATCTGCAACTGCTGAAGGGCCAGGTTGAGAGGCCCAGGCTCCTGCCACACAATCTCACCATTAGAGCAAGCTCTGAGCTCTGGAGAAGGACTCAGCCAGGGGTAAATATGGGAAGTCCCCCGCAGCCATCCCAGGACAAACAGCACAGAGTAAGGTAGCCTGCCCGTGTGTGAGTGGAGACCCAGGCAGGGCTGTGCCAGGACGGAGGGCAGCAGCTCCGGGAGCTGCTGGAAGGAAGAGCTGATGGGTCACAGAAAGCCAGCTTATGCAGAGCCTTAAGGCTGGGAGACCACTGCGGAAGCCTCACATGGACACAAGGGCAAGAGGACAGTGGCTGGGCCCAGGGTGGTAGTGAAGGGGAAAGAGAAGTAGTTAGATTCTGGGGTGTTTTGGAGAAGGAACAGAATTTGTCATAGGACCAGTTATAGGGACAATGCTCACTGGGAGCACCCACCCCCCCTCTTCCTGCTCTCAGCCAGGGAGCCCTTCCAGGGAAAAGAGCTTTGCCAGTGCAAAGCCAGAGCAGGCCACAGGAGGTGCACACCAAAGCTGATGTCTCCCCTTACTCCTTTCATGGCACTGAGGCACTTACCTGGGAAGGGCTAATGCCATTACTCCACTTCTTCATAAAGTAGATTAAACTGGACCCAAGCCCTGGCTCTTTCCCTGTGCTTACTGCAGCACACACCAGGCCTGACTCTGACCTAGGATTTTAACACTGAGTCAGGGGCCTGAGGCAGATCATTCCTTATACCGGAAAGCCATGCTCCCCACCTGGCAGACCCAACTACTACCAATCCCAACAGTCACAACCTTGCTGGCTTTGTCTACAAACTTCAGCTCCACAGTCCCAACCTTGCTGGCTTTGTCTACAAACTTCAGCAAGCCATCAGCTGGGGGACAGCAATGCTCCAGGAACAGCTGCACATGTCCTTGGTGCACGGTGTTAGTATGTGGCATAAATGGTGTGTCCCCAAACACAGGCGTTCCTCACTGCCCAGACTCACCCAATTTAAACCCACACACCAATACCCCAGTATCAGTTCCTGTTGTGGCTTGTGTCTCAATGCCCCCAAAGCCTTGTGCAGTTGTAGCTGGGGCTTTTTCCAGGTGGCTGGATCTAGAGTATGATGCTGGGATTAAGGGTATGCTACTCCCTGGGCGTGAGTGCTACTCTGGACAGAACATAAGGGACAGAAAGAGGACTGCTGTGGTTGCTTGTTGCTTCACTACTTTGCTGCTTTTTGCCTGCCATGAACTGTTTTTCCTCTGTGATGCCCCTCTGCCATACCACCCTGCCTTGGAACCAGCCAGCTATAAACTGAAACCTTGACAAAACTACGAGCTAAATAAACCTTTCCTCCTTTAACTTTGGATGTCAGCTGTTTTGTCTCAGCAATGAGAAAAGACAATACCTTACTCTCCAAAACCTGGACACCATATCAGTTAGGAGAGGGAGAGATGCTTCCCTTTCACATGTACACCTACATTGCCCAGCATTGTTTTGGCTGGGGTCAAACATATGTGAATGATTTTGGCTGATGAGGTGTGAGTGGGGTTAACATAAGCTTCACTTCTGGTCTGAGACACTGCAGAGTAGCTGGGGATCATCTACATTTTCCATTCCCTTGCTCTGTGGACCCAGAAGCCAGTCCTTGAATGGTGATGACATGAGTCCAGACTGGATCTCTGAGCTGCCTCACGGGAAGCAGCAACTCTGGAGAGGTGCCTGACTCTGTATTAGCATGAAATAAACCCTTGTGTTCCTTTCCCAATATTTTATAGACTATTGCAGTACAGCCCTGACTATCCTAATACAAAGGGACATTCCAGGGTGATTCTGGCTGTGTGTGATTTCTGCCTTAGGATCTGAGCTGGACCACATGTTCCAAAGCATCACTACTCAACTTTGTGACAATCTGGTAAAAACATTCTGAAATATTATTTTTTTTTGTACCAGGAATCAAACTCAAGAAGCGCTTGCCAGGCAGGTGCTGTGCCACTGAGCTATATGCCTGGCTCCTTGTAAAGCCATTCTGATCAGCCCCATTTTATAACGTAAAGCAACTGAGGCATCCACCCTAGGTGACTTGCACAGGGTCACACAACCAACAAATAATGAGGGCAGGACTCAGGTCTGTCTGATCCCGGATCTCTGCACCTCATCATGCTGCCTCCTTGCTAAGCCCCACCTGACCCTTGATCTTAGCCCCATTTCTGACAAATCACAGCATAGACCCCATATCTGTCACATCCGGACTCTACCAGAGAAGGCTGAAACCTTTGCTGATGCCTGAAAGATGACGGAACAACTGTTTAGAAAGAAATAAAATATTATTTTACTGCAAATTATTTGCAAATGTTCATGTTTCCAGTGTAAGTCATTACAAAAAGATCCCCAAGAAAAACTTGGTTTCTCTAACATGAAAGGATGGTATAACTTACAAAAAATAAATATATATCTCCACCTAAAAGAAAGATGCTTCTCTGGGTTTGAAGTCAGCAATGTACAGTATTCATAGCAGGTCTGAGTCTGGGGCAGCAGTGAGCTCTTGCTGCTGTCGGGGTCTCACTTTGGTCTGTCACCGAGACATCTATCAGACCCACTGCGCAGGACTCCGCCTCTCAGTTTTCTTCCAAGGACACATGCACTGAATGTCAAATGCAGAATGTCAAATGATAAGTCCCTGCTCCTCGGCCCAGGGCTTCCTCCCAAGAAATTAAATCCTTAGGATAGCCTTTTTCTCTGGAATAGTACTTAAAAAAAAAAAAAAAAAATCACTGATATTCATGAACAGGGTCTTTTCTTACCCTGGAAGAGAATCAGTATCTAAAATGTCAAATTTTCTGCCATTTGCCGTGAGATGCCAAGGGGTGAGAAATTAAAACCGAAAGAGACAGTTCCCAGGAGACTCTTTGGTACCAGCTGGTAATACCTAGGAGGTCCCTCGGGCTCCTTGCTATGGATGCTTTGTAGCCATTAGCAGATCTACTCTTTCCAGTACCGAGAGGAGTAAACCCACCCTAGCAATGGGCAGTTAGAGGCCAGAAGGAAAGCAAGGGAAAGGTGGAACGGGTGTTGAGGTGAGCAGGCTGGGAAATGGGTGGTAAGAGGACACTGCCCGGCCCTGGGGCTTCAGGTCCGGATCAGCCACAGGTCCAGCCATGCCCTTTCAGTGACAGGAAGTGGGGGTGCGCAAGGCTGCCTCTGGCCACTGAAGCATGGCCTGGTGGGCAGGGCTGGGGTGCTGGCTCCCAGCACCGGAGTGTCTGGAAGACCAGATGGTTGGCAAGAAGACTGTCGGGGCCCTTGGGACATGGCCTGAGAGTCAGAATGATTTTCACCAGGCCCCTCAACCTTGGGAGCAGCCCCAAGGAACGAAGCATTCAGCTGGAACCAGATAAGGTTCTAGGAGTGACAGGGAGTGTCTTGGAGACTTGGAATCCATAGACTTCGGCTGGAGAGATGTGAGGCAGTTGGCTGGATTTGGTCACTAGCGTCTTCTACATCACCAATTTTTCCAAAGTCTGGCTGCTAACGCCCCTCTGTGGATGCACCAGGGACACGGCTTGCACTCCTGGAAGCATGAGGACGTGTGCACACCTCCCGGGGATCGAGGCCAGGGTGTGGACGCCTGGGCTCTCTGGGACACAGCTGTCTCCGGCTTCTTCAAGGTCAGTTCTGGCCAGGGCTGGCTGGTGGCAGCTACTTTGTGTGTGTTTTGGTTTGATGGGTTTGGTTTTCTTTCTTTCCTTTTTTTTTTTTTGGTTTCTGACTGAGAGGTCTGGGTTCCCAAGGACACCGGCTCATCCCTGGACACTGGTGTGTCGGCCCTGCAGTTCTGACCAGGTGCCCCAGCTCTTGCGCTCACACCAAGCCGGCATCTTTGGCCATGCTATAGAAGAGACCTCTCTGCTGTAGGAGGTCGGATGGGGTGCCGCACTCCCGGATCTCCCCTTTGTCCAGCACAATCACCCTGCAGGGGGAGGAGAGACAGACATGAGGGGAAGGAAACTTGTGACCCAAAGAACTCATCTGGGCAAGCCATTGTTTTGGATTGGAACCCTAACATGTTCTGCCAGGACTGACGCAGTAGCCTTCCACAGCTACTGGTTGCCCAGCTTTAATCCCTATTTCTAGTCAATTTCAAATCCTGCTCCCTAAATTTCTATCCCAAATAACATTGTAGGCAGTTAATGATGATAATGCTATCAACTGTTCAGAATCATTGGCCCACTACACTCAGAATAAAATAAAAAGATCTTATCACAGTCTACAACAGGGGTCAGCAGTCTTTTTCTGGAATGTGCCAGATGGTACACATTTTTGGCATGGTTTCAGTTACACAATCCACCTCAGCTCTATTTATAATAGGAAAGCAGCCAGAGATGACAGGACAATGTGGCTGTGTACCAATAAAACTTTACTCATAAAAATGGACAGCAGGCTGAATTCAGCCTGTTGGCCATAATATGCTGACCCTTGGTATATGAGGTTCTGTTAAGATGCAAGTATGTCCACTTCTGATCTCATATCAGACCAATTGCCCCTTGGTCTCAAATGTGTCACTGCAGCACCTGTTACATAGTAGTTGCTCAACAATCTCTTAAAAACATCACATCAGCTGGGTGTGTTAGTGCAGACCTACAATCCCAGTACTCTGGGAGACTGAGGTAAGATCACGAATTCAAGCTCAGCCTGGGCTAGTTAGTGACTTATAGCAAGGCTCTCTCTCAAAATAAAAAGAAAAAAAAAGGGAGGTGGGGCTGGGGATATAGCTCAGTGTGAAGACCCTCAGTAGTGATGAAAAAAAGCATGTCGTGTCACTCCCCTACCTGTGACTCTCCAGGGACTTCACAGTGCTCTCAGAATAAGTTTCAAACCTCCTCACGTGATGACCTGGTGCTCCAGGTCTAGCCCCAGCTACCATCCAGACCCACCTCCTCTCCGTCCACTCAAGTCTAAACTCCAGGCACACTGGCTTCTGGCTATCCTTCAAATTCAGTAAACACATTCCCATTTTAGGGCCTTTTACGAGGCAGTACCTTTTGCCTAGGATAGTTTTTCTTTAGCTCAAAGTTTGGCAAACTATGGCCTGGAAGCCAAATCTGGCCCTCTGCCCATTTTTATGAATACGGTTTGATTAGCACACAAACATGCTCGCTCATTTCTGTATTGCCGATACCTGCCTTCACCCTACCATATCAGAGATGGACAGCTGTAACCATGACCTCCTGGCCTACAAGGCTAAAAATATTCTGGAATATTACAGAAAAAGACTACTGATCCTGGTTCTGGATTTTTCTGTGGCCAACATCCTCATTATTAAGGCCTCAGCTCAAATGTCCCCTCCTCAGGGCGGCCTTTCTTGATCGCCTATGCTAAATTCAAAACCTTTAGCAGCCTGCACCAGGGCACATGATGATTTCCATGGGGAATCATGCCTGCGTGGCTGCCTGCTCCATATAAATGTTTAAAAATTGATTTTACAACTGTGTAGGTATAAAGATGACTATAATCTAGGATGGATGATGTATTTTCTTTTTCCCTTTTTCCTTTTTTGGCAGTACTAGGGTTTATACTAGGATTTATACTAAGGGCTATATATCCCTAGCCCTTAGTTTTTATTTTGAGATAAGGTCTCACTAAGTTGCCACAGTGGGTTCAAACTCGTAATCCTCTGCCTCAGCCTCTCGCAGTACTGGTCTTACACCACTAACTACAGCTTCTTCCGATTTTTAAAAGAAAGCACTGGCCTACCTGCTACTGCCGCCTCCTCTGCCTATTATATTACCCTCCCCATACATGCTACATTCTGAAATCAGGTTATTTGTTGCTCTGTTCATGGTCACCTCAAACTAAGCTGCCCAGTCCTGGAGTAGGTCCCCTGTGCAACAGCAGCCTGCAGCGCTCCCACGGCCCAGAACTAGGCCCCACTTTGAGGCACGTGGAAGGCACATACATATATAAGTTGAGAATAAATGAGTGCACGATGCCATAAGTACCTGGCATTACCCAAAATAAAGAAGTGCCACCAACTGGGGCTGTTCATTGGCACAAAGACTGGGTGGATGGATGGATGGATGGATGGGGCAGTGAGTAGGGCCGGCCCTCTTAGCTAGGGCTTCACCTTGTGTAGTCCATGATGGTGTTGAGTCGGTGGGCAATGGTGAGGACCGTACAGTCCTCGAATTGTGTCCTAATGGTGGACTGGATGAGGTCATCTGTTTCCAGGTCCACGGCTGCCGTGGCCTCATCCAGCACAAGGATCTTTGTCTTCCTCAGCAAAGCTCGGGCCAGGCACACTAGTTGGCGCTGCCCAATGCTGAAAAGCAGAAAAAGACCACAGACCATGTTACCCAAGCCTGACCCTGAACCCAGGCTGGACCTGGGAGAAGGAGAAGAGACACTTTGTCCTGCTTGGCCTAGCAGGGCCCGCCCACTCCCTATTTCCACACCCTGCGGCAGACATTACCAATCGATTGCATGTTTCCTGTTGTGTGAGAAGCAGAATAAATTTCAACACAGGGTTCAGAGGAGATATTCAAAATATTGGTCCAGTTCATGAGTGGTGTAGTGAACAGCAAAAATGGCCCTTATCCCTATCCACCTGTAGGGTCCTCACAGCTGACTCTGGACTTGGCCATGTGCCTTGCCTTGACCAAAGGGATGTGACAAACAGGGCCAGTGGAGGCTGGATGTGGGGATGCACACTTGGCTTCTCACATTACCATGACCACGTGCCCACCTGGTCTGCTGGAGGACGACAGGCACATGTAGTGTACCTTACTGCCCTCAAGAAGGCCAGAAAGACCAGCAACAGCCAGATGACCCCAGGTACACGAATGAGCACGGTGAGGATGAGCAGAGCCACTGGCAGGCCGCCCTAGCGTGTGAGCACACTGGAGGATGGCTGTCATGGCAATGGGAAGCTGCACCAAGCTCCGACTCAAGTCACTGGGACAGGACTGGGGAGGTTCCCTGCTGTCACAGGCATTAGTTGCTGGATCCTGGACAGATCCTGGGGATCTAGAAAGGAAAGCTAAGGCAGCAGGGACAGCGGGTACAGACCAGGAGGACTCAAGCAGTGCTATCTGCTGACTGGTAAAGTACCCTTTAATAGTTTAACAAATGACAGCCACCCTCAGTGGACTGGGGCCAGTGTATGATGACAAATGCATTGGTCTTCCTCATCTTCTTTCCTTTACCTCAAGGAAAACAGAACCTGGAGTGAAAACCATTTTATAGACATGGAGACTGAGGCTCCAAGAGGCAAAGGGGTAAGTGGCTTGTCTGTGGCAGAACTGGGGCTCAAACCCACACAAGAGGGCAGAATTTTCACACACCCTGGCCAAGCCAATGCCCGGGGGTCTTGCTTCCCACCTGACTGGCCCTGCCCCACCCACCTTAGGTTCTCCCCGCCTTCCGCACACTCATGGTTCAGCTTGTCGGGGAGGCCGGACACGAAGCCCTTGAGGTGAGCCAGCTCCAGGGCTGTCCAGACTTCTTCATCTGAGTACTGGCTGAACGGGTCCAGGTTCATGCGGAGAGAGCCCGAGAACAAAACGGGGTCCTGCCCAGAGGAGAGAGCAGAAGGCACATGAAGCTCATGGCATGTTCTGCAGGGGCAGAACACAGAGGCAGACATAAAACTTTCCCGACAGACCTGTGGAGCAATAAATGTCAGAGTGCCTCGGAATCACTAATTCTAGAGAGGTTCAGGATTTTTTAGAACACCCCAGGAAACCTCAGGTTAGGCAGCATGAAACAGCTGTCTCTTTTGCACAGCTTCTCAGAGCGTGCAACATGCAAACGCGCTGGGAACCTTAGAGAAGGAAGACAGCACTGGCAAATCCTAAAGTACCGTGCATTCCTCCTGTCTCTTACAAAAATAATACTAACAGGCAACATATTAGGGAACAGCCACCTACACGGATCAGTCTGGAGGGGAATTCTCTGTTGTTTAGCTCTAGGAAGGAATAAAGAACCTCCTCCTGACCCCAACAGGGGTGGGGCGGATGGTGTTTCACTAAGATCCCTCTCAGATGTCAAAATCCACAGTGCTCGAGCCCCTTTGGTAATGGTGCAGCAGTAATGCAGTAATGGTGCATATAATTTACACACACCCTCCTTGAGTCGAGCCTTTCAGTCACCTCTGGGTTACTCAGACTACCGAGGACAGTATGAATGCTGTGTGAGCAGACGTTATACTCTATCGGCTAGGGAATAATGTCAAGAAAAAAATCTGTACATGTTTTGTACACACACAAATGTTTCAAACAAAAAGAGAAAACATCTGCGATTGATGGCTGGTTGGGTCTACACACACAGAAGGCTGCTGTCGCTTTTAGTGGAACCACAGGACCTGTGGCCCCAGCTTCCCACCGGCCCCGCCTACCCCACCTGGGGGATGATGGTGATTTTGAAGCGCAGGTTGTGCAGGCCGATCTTGGCGATATTGATACCATCGATGATGATCTCGCCTTCAGCGGACTCATTCACCCGAAACAAGCCCAGGGTGAGGGAGGACTTGCCGGCTCCTGTGCGCCCTACAATGCCAACCTGGGGAACAGGAGGAGTCTTCATGAGGTGGGAATGCTGGACTCTGAGGCTGTCCTGGTCTCACCGTCCTCACTGCAGGTGGCTAGTCCAGAGCAGCTCGGAAACCTGCTTGAGCCAACTCCCACCAGCACTTTCTGGCACCAGCTCCCAAGGCCACTCCTTTATGCGCTTGCTTTGGCCAAATATCAAGAAAGACTCCCTTGTAGTGTACGGTGGCACACGCCTGTAATCCCAGCACTCTGGGAGGCTGAAGCAAGAGGACTGCAAGTTCAAGCCCAGCCTAGGCAACTTAGCAAGACACTGCCTCAAAAAAAAAATAAATAAATAAATAAATAAGGATTGAGGTTATAGCTAAACTCCCCAAGGAATGAATCCACTCCTTTAAGTCAGTTGAGACCTCCAAAGAGACAGGTATCAGGCGGAAGGAATGTTTAATAAGGCCTACTAACTTCAACTCAAGAGAGGATTAAGCAATGGTTGGGTATTTCCTTTTTTTTCCACACTGTGTATCACTCCTCTAACAAGGACCTTCCCAACCTGAGCTGCTGAAATTTCTGAGATGCAAGCAGATGCCACCAGAACCTTTTCAATGTGGCCTGGTGTCCCGTGGAGACACTTCCCACTTCACAGGCACCATCTGGCATTCCTGACATCCACCTGCACAACCTCACTGCTCCCTCAACCTTCTAACAGATGTCACAGCGCAGGATGCAGGGAAGGTCCCTAAGGCGTAATATAAGTCATAAAGACTCCATGGGAACACCAGCTGCCCTGGTTTGCCCCTCATTACAGCATCTCATGGGAACGGGATGTTCTGAGCCTTGGGGCAAGGACAGTTTAAGAAATCTGTATGTTGAGTAATACAAACTGCCAGGAAGACCCTTAAGATGATTTCCTGAGAATTTCCAAGAATCTCAAGGATGTCTTCCAGGAACAGCTTCTAACCAAAGGAAGGTTCTGAGATCCCAACTATCCAACTGTGCCTCGAGCTACCCCTAGTAGTGACAATGACATCATTTTATGCTAGAGATTAAAACTTGAGGGCCTTAAAAGGGCCAAGTAGGCACATGAATGTGGCAGCCAGCAGCTGGGGTGAACAGGGAGGCTGCAGATCTTTTGCAAATGGGAACGGGACCCACACACCAAGGGGGATGGGAGGGGAAGGGGATGTAAAAGCACTGGATGTCTTGTTCACAGGTACCAACTATCCACTATTAATGTAATCATTATGTCACACACACAACAAAAAAAAAGAAAAAGGGATAGGGAATCTAGAGCCAGGGACAGGGACGGCATTGGGAGGGGAAGGGCCTAGAAAGAGTCAAGGTATGTTAAGGACATGTACCTATTCCCTGAGATGAATGTAAACATCACACACTGAGCGCACATACAAATAAAATAAATTCATTCCAAAAAAGAAAAAGAAAAGTGCCACGAGGGTGCATTTGTCCAACACTGCTAGATGTTCTGACATTCCAAGAAAAGCAGCTGTGTTTCTATATAAATGTTACAGGTTTTTCAGTATATGCAACTTACTTGGACCCCTCCCCCAACAAATCTGCAGGCCTCCTTTGGTCTCTGGGCTCCTGCTATGTGACCTTCTGGGCTCTGAGCAGACTTCACTTTCACCAGCCCTACCCTCCCGACAAAGACCCCGGCCCTACCCACAGTGCGGACCGTGGTCTAGGAGGTGAACCAGCTGGTTTTAGCCACCTGACCACAGCCCACACCCAACTGTGAGCAGGTGTGGGGGGATGACGCACACCCACCTTTTCTCCCCCTTCGATGATGACGTTGATGTGCTTGAGAACCAAGTCCAGGTCCTCTCGGTACCGCAGGCCATAATCCCGGAACTCCACTCGGCCTACCTGGGGCCAGCTGCTGGGTGGAGCTGTCTCCTGGATTTGCCAGGGAGCCTTAGATCACAGAGAGGGTCAGGAAGGGAGAGAAAACAGGAATCCCAAGTCCATCCTCTGTGCCACAGGCTCGACTGGAACAGACCTCCATGACTCTTCCCGCCGCAGCTCCCTCCCCGTCCTGTTGGCCTCCCGGCTGGTCCTCAAACACACCCCATGCTCTGCACCTGCACGCTATTTGCTTGTCCCACAGTGTTCTTCCCCACGCTATCCACTGGGCCCTACAAACTAAGATCCAGCCGCAAACTAAGACCTTCTCTGTGAGGCCAAGAAAAGCTAGACTTGAGAATCAGAAGGAAGAAAATGTCCTCACTAAATGATGAATGCTGTCTGAATCCCCTGAAAGCATCCTGTAACCTCGGATACTGGCATCCGATATCCTGGGGAAAACCAGGATCATTAAAAACTATTTTCTTCCTCTAAGCCCAGGTGGTTCTGAGTAGGCACTGAAAGAGGTGATGCAAGTCAGATGTGCTTTTACTCACTCGCCCACTCAGGAACAGAAGCAAGAACCACGGCGGCTTCTGTGACTTTTGGGGTAAAGCCACAGCGATGAGCAAGGCCAAAGGGTCAGGTCGGGGTCCCGCTTTACCTCTTTCTCCGTTTCTGAATACTCCTTGAGTCTCTCCACAGCTACAATGTTGGTCTCCATCTCAGAAGACATCCGAACCAGCCAGTTCAAGTACGAGGTGATCTACAAGCGGAAGAGTCAACGTGGAGTTTGCAGAGTGAGCGTGAGTTACTTTATTTTCAATAAGGAATCATTAATTATAGAATACCTCAGGTAAGAAATTAGCAACCCCACACACAGCTATCACCCACACTTGCCACACTTCATCTCTTAAGCATTGCATTTTTCAAAATGATCACGGGCCACACAAGTCTTTGGAAAGTAAATCAGATAATATTTGGAATGAGTTGATAATATGAAAACACAATCAAAACTCATGAGAACACAGCTAAATCGGGACTTGGAGAGAGGTCACAGTTTGCGTTTTATTACGGTTTTTTATGTTTTGAGTCAGGGCCTCGCTAAGTTCCCCAGGCTAGCCTTAAACTTTTTATTCTTCTGCCTCGGCCACCCTGAGTACTGGGAATACAGGCACATGCTACCATGCCTCGTTTGAAATTCATAGTTTTAAAAGCATTTCCCTTGTAGCTGGAAGCATCTCCTCGAGCCATCAAGGAATTTTCTTGACTGACAGAGAACCCTGGCTGGGTGTCAAATTCCTCCTTGGCTTTAGTTGGTCCCCAGCCTCTGTACACAGGTCTCCAGGTCCACTCAGTCCCTTCTCTCTCCCCAGTTCCTGGGGGAATCCAATATGAAGGCCCGGGAACCTGGCAACTAGCCTTGAGAGACTTTAATTAAAGAGTGTCCTCTCCTACCTGCAGGGAGTAAGACACCGAGAGGCCCACCAGGCCGGCACTGAGGTTGTGCCGGGAGATGACCGCAAAGAGTGCGGCAAACAGGACGATACAGTTTCCGACACACTCCAGTCGCACAGCGAGCCACCTGCACGGAGACACATAGCCAGACAGGTGTACACACAGACAGACACAGTCAGCTCTTCAGAGACCTGGCTCCAGGTCACAGGGGGGCACGGGGAGGTTAACGTACTAACTGCAGTGACTCCCTGCATGTTCTGGAGAAAGGCCTCCTCGGTGCTACCCACTGGAAACATGCAGCCTGGCCATTGGGGAAGGGGCCCATGGGACTCAAAGTTCATCACTCTTAGCAGCCTGGTCAGCCCCAGGATAAACACAGCGTTCTCCAGAAGCTGCCCCTAAACCCCTGGAATCTAAAGCTTGCCTTCTTAAGAATCAACTTTTTCTCAAGAAGTCTTTAAAACGTTACATACATACATATTTAATAAAAAGATACCCTAGACTCCTTAAACATGAAAACGCCCTTAACTGTAAGAGGCACCATTGATTTAAAATAAGTCTACTGGGCTGAGTGCCAGAATGCTTGCCTAGGATGTGTGAGACCCTGGGTTCAACCCCCAGCACTGCAAATTTATAAATAAGTCTCTTAGCAGGAGATAGATGTAGAAGGGAGATGCACGCTACCATATTCAATGTGCCTGACATGTTCTCAGACTCGCCCTAATTTCAGAAACATTAAAAATGTATTACTGAGGAGAGGAGGGGTTAAAGTGAGGTTAGGGGAATGGGAATATAACCAAGTTATATTATGTACAGGTACAAATTCTGTATAATGAATGTGATCATTATGTAGAACTAAAATGTACCAATAAAATCTGATTGGAAAAAATAAAATGTATTATTTTACTTTTTGAAATATAAACAGATATTTCATTGGTTTAAAGTTAACTTTCATAAGCTATTATGTAGCATAAGAGAAACTATTTTCACATTCTAAAATGTAAAGCAGTTTATATTTCTTTAGGGAAATGGTATTGCTGGTTCTTTTTTCCACCACAGCCCTTATGATCTATGTGACTGACCTTCATGTAAGTGAAATTTTTCCAGAGACCGAGCCAGATTTTGACAAACTTCCTAACACTCTTCCCAGGAAGTCAAAGACTCCAGCAATTCAGGGTCCCTCCACTCAGTCTTAAGCAATGGATTAGACTGTGCCAAATGGGCTGAGGCTTGGTGATGGTCTTTACCACCTTTCAACAAAATGTGCCAGGATGTAAGAGAGAGGAGGCGACTGTTCAGGGATAGATCAAACACTTCTCTAAATTCAGTTATAACTCACAGACCTCGGCCTGTCGTGTCATGGAGGAGCTGGCATCACCAGGACAGCAGTAGGCCATGCTTGTGGGGCTCTAGGGCTCACCAAAACCCTGACCCTGCACTCACAATGCTCCTGTCTGCCTTGCCTGGTCACCATGCCCTTCCTCTCCCCAGGGCTCCCAGCCTATCTGCTTGGCTGCTTTTTGCACCCTGCCCCATGACCAAGGGCCCCGGGTGGGAGTCGGGGCACGAGAAGTCTCCCTCTGGCCCTCCTGGTCCCACTGCCCACCTGTTGGCCACGATGCTGGGGTAGTAAGCCTTCTGATTCTCGTCCACCTTCAGGTCACTCTGGTGGATAAAACGTTCCTGCTCCTCGAAGGCGCGGATGACGCTGACCCCCAGCAAGGTCTCGTTGAAGTGGGAGTAAATTGGGGAGCGGCTGACTGACTCAAGGCGCTTTAGCTGCCGAGAGGAAGCCACGTAGAACCTCTGGAGGGGGGAAGAGATGAGATGGTCGGCAATGGTTCCCCCATCCCACCCTCCTGGGGCTATGCCGGAGAAGCCTGAATATGACTGATACTTCCAGGAGGAAAAATGCTGGGCACTTAGCCAGCGTCCTGCTCACCCAGTGGACTATAGGCACGGTGTGGACAACAGTGAAAATAACCAGTACTTATACGAGCCCAGTGTCCCAGAATCTGCTCCTATATCCTCACAGCAAACCCATGAGGTGCTCCCTGTGTCTTGCTTCAGGGTGAGGAAAGCAGTACACAGAGGCCATTAGATGCAGGGAGGGGGGGCGCTGGCTGGAGGTGCACCACGGGTGGGCCCCGGTGTGTTCTGTCCCCACCCCCGCCCTCTCGCTGCTTTCTAGCTGCCACAGGCTGAGCTCCTTTCCCTCTGCCACGCTGTTTCCGCCTTGGAGCTGGCTAACCACAGACTGAAACTGCGAGCCAAAATGCCCCTCTCCTCCAAGCTGTGGTGTTGGATACTTTGTCCCAGGGTCGAGAAAGTGACTATGATACAACATTTCCGGTAAATGCAGCTGCAAGATTTTCCGAGAAACAGTAGGCACCAATTTAAAGAGGTTACGGGGAGAGCCTGGGAACCGGACCTACCCTGCCTGACTGCATCCTTATTCCTGCTCACCAGTCTCTGGGCCACAGGGAAACAGGGCCCAGGGCTGGCTGGCTGGCTGCACCAAGACCTCCTGGACCTCACCTAAATGGAGGGGGGTGGGGTGCCATGCACCTCTGTGCTGCCATGGGACTGCTCCCATCTAAGCAAACAAGCCCAACTAGCAACTGTGCTATAGTTAATGCTGTGGTGTAGCTAAGGGCAGGACAGGCTTGGGTTCGCATGCTAAACTCTGGCACTTGGGTAAGATGCTTCTCTTTCCTGAGTGTCAACATACTTACTCTTCTGTCAACTGGGTACACAATCTATATGGCAATAAGAAATCATGTGTTCAGCGATGGTAACAGGTTCTGCAGAAGGGCTGGGGCAGAGACTACTAACTTCCTGCACAGCGCCCCCTTCTTCTTTTCCAGCAGAAGTTTATTGCTGGAAACTACAACGTGCCCAGCTAAAGAACTGCACTTGCTACCCACCCTTGCAAAGCGCAATGGTCACATGACTCAGTTTGAACCATTAGCTATATTTAAATGGGTGGAACTCATTCAGCAATCATATGCTCTCTTGGCCCATTCCCTCTCTCAGTCTCACTGTCTGAAAATACAGACATGATGGCTGAAACTCCAGCAACCCTCTTGGACCATGAGACCGGTTTCAGAATAGAATGCTTATGCAAGAAAAAAAGAGAAGAAAAGGCAACCTAGCATATTAACAATGTCACTGAGCTGCCATCCCAGCACTGGCCTTCTTCAGGATATCTACTGCAAGAGAGAAAAATAGCTCTTCTGCTGTTTTTCATGCCTCTGTTATCCATAGGAGGCTTAAGAAATAAAGAATTCTGTGGTTATGTCTACTTAACAGATGCACCTTCACACCTACAGCTTTTGTTTTCTAACTCAAAGCTAAGAAACTAAAATTTACTAGAAATAAAGTACACATATTTTGATATACAGCTAAAAATCTATTTAGGTCTTCAAAATAGACAAACGCAAACCTGAGCTCCCTCCAGCAAGTCCTCGATAGCCCTATGCTGGGCAAACAAGGAGACGTCAGGTGACAGGGCTCAGCCTGGACGCCACAGCTCCCTCACCTGCACGAAGAAGTAGATGAGGCCCAGTGGCGGGATGACGACAGCAGCGATGGGGGTGGCCAGCAGAATGAGGATGCAGGAGCCCAGTACAGTGAACAGGGAGCCCATGAACATCTTGATGACTTGCGGGATCATGGAGTCTACCGTGTCCAGCTCCTTGGAGAAGCGGTTCACCAGGTTCCCGCTGGGGGTGCGCTCGAAGAAGCTCATGGGTGACCGGAGGACATTGTACAGCAGGTCTAGGTGCAGGCGGCGGGAGGCAAAGATGCCTCCAATGGACACTGTCATAGAGTAGCCGAACACAGCGACACCTGCAAACACTTGGGTGTGAGGCTCTGTGGTGGTGGGCGGGTGGTGCAGGCAGGGGTTGGCACTAGGGAGGGGCTCTTAGACCGGGCGGGCCGGACTCCCAATGTCTTAAAGTGACGGCGGCTACTGTGATAGTGACTTAATACCTGCATAGCACAGTGCTAGGCTTTTCACACAGGTGTGAAAAGGACCCTACTGCTACCTGTTTCAGTAAGAAAATGAAGCCCAGATAGGCGAACTGTGCACAAAACATATTTAGCGAGATGAAAGCAGAGCTGGGACTGAGATCCAGGCAGCCTGCCCCAGAGTCACAGCCTCCCACCCATGGACTTGGTGCAGTGACTGCACACTGTGCACTGGGCTGCCCAGTAGGGCGGCACCAGCTGCAGGTGGCTACTGCGCACCGCAGTGTGCTCATTCAACCCAAGAACCGAATGCTCAGTTCTGACGACCTGGACTTCCAATAGGCACCTGTACCTTATGGCTGAAGAACGGACCCTGACCTGCGCGGGCCCCAGTAAGCAGCGTATCCTCTCTGCTATCTACTTTCCCTCAAATATAATTTGAGGCCACAGTCCTTTGCCCTGCTATTAGGGGAAGGGGAGCTTACCAACTGAGAAACTCAAGAAATCCACATCTGTTCTCCATTAAAAGCTTTTTCCAACAGCACCTCCTAGAGATCATGACTCATTCGAGGCTCCTCCAAACCACACCCAGCAGGGGGCTGTTCTTTCCAGGGTGCAATGTTGTAGGCATGGAGAGGCTTGTACTGTGGCCTCTTAGAGTAGGAAGAAACTCAAGAGGCTGGGGTGCAAATGGGGGGCTCTCATCTCTGGTCAACACTGCCAAATACTATCTCTGTCAGTTGCTAGTTTGGGGATCTTCCTCAAGTCACTTAACCTCTGAACCTCAGTTCCCTCATCTGTAAAATGGGGACAATATTTACATTAAAGCACTGTTGAATACCAAGTGGCAGTGAGCCTGGCATACAGCAAGTGCTCAAATACGTCAAGTATATGTATTTACTGTACATGCACGTGTGTCACAGACACTGGACAGGTGCAGCCATAACTGCAGTTTCTCTGTGCACATGGCAATACTCCATGAATGGCACAGCACAGCACAGCAGCTAAGGGTGTGAGCCCCTGAGCCAGACCGACTCATCCAATGCCTGCTCTGCCATGTATTTGCATTCGAGAAACACAAACTCTATGAATGCTGGAGGCCCTGCTATGTGACAGGTGCTGCTCATCTGGGTTGGGCTTGGTTTTGGGGGGAATCCATGAAACCTGGAGGACTTAGTGGGGGCCATTCTCTAATCAGCCATGAGGTGATTACAGTCGCCCAAATCAGAAAGGATGGGATGGTGACGCCCACCTTGTGAGATGCCCAGAGCTCCGTAGACGCTGAGCCGGACTTTCGTGTGCTCCTGGGTCCCATTGACGACAGGGTCGTCCGTCCAGAGACTGAGCCAGTAGTTGGAAGCCAGGGAGGAAATGTGGTTGCACAGGAAGAGGAAGATGCTCAGAAAGGAGAGGAAGAGCCCGATGGCCTTCATGTAGTCCCAGTACACCGAGAGCTGCACCTGGAGGCCACGGAGACAGCAGTCCAGACAAGGTCAGCAACGTCCACAGCTCTGGGCAGACCAGCTGCCCATCTCCGCCCAGATGCACAACCCCTTCCTCCTTAGTTGTCTGACAAAGGAAGCCATCAGTGGGCAAAAGTCAAGGCCTCTGACTTTACAGAGCCTCCAGGCAAGTGGCTGCCATCCAATCACCCACCCAGGTCAATGCGTAACAGGAGCAAGGCTCTAATGGATGTGTAATCCCATCAAGTATCAAATTGGCCATCCTGACCTAACCTCAGGGGAGGGTACAAGGGAGGCTTTATTTAAGGAACTAAGAGTAGGGAGTTCATCCAATGAAAGCAGAGTAACTCTTCAAGTGGAGGAAGCAAGTGCAAAGGCACTGCAACAGGTGGAAGCATAGCATGTTTGAGCAACTGGGAAGAGGCAAAGGTGGCTGAAGCCAGAACATAGGGTGGAGGAAAAGGATGAAGCTGGAGAAGGGGTCCCACCCAGACCACACAGTCTGGAGATTCTCTTCAGGATTCTGATCTTTACTCCAGGACCCATAGGAAGCCACCAGAGTTTTAAGCAAACGGGAAGGTGGGACATGCTGTCTAGCAATCAAAGCCAAGTGTCACCTCCACTCCACAACTGGAGTGTTTGCAGCACCCATGTTTATAGCAGCACAATTTGTAATGGCCTGCAGCCCATTGCTCGCAGCACCCTGCTGAGCTCCCCAGCTAACACCAGGTCTAAAAGACACCTAGTGGAAATCAGTGTGGAGATTCCTCACAAAACTGGGATTAGAGTTCCTGCTTAACCCAGCTATTCCCCTTCTGGGTACTTTCCCAGAAAAACTGAAAATATCATACCACAGTGATATATGTGCACCCATGTTTACAGCAGCACAATTTGTCATAGTTAAGTCTTGGAAACAACCCAAATGCCCATCAACAGAGGGATGGAAAACAAAGATGTGGTATTTTATACAATGGAGTATTACTCAGCTATAAAGAAAGATTAAACTCGAGGCTGTTATAGGTAAATGGATGCAACTAGAGGCCATACTCATAAGTGAAATAAATCAGACTTAAATATGTCAACATTGTACTGTCTCTCTACTGTAAGAACCTGAAAGAGTAAGTAAAACCCGAAATATTGTGAAAGGGAAACACACTGCTCAAAGGGAAGGGACAACTGGGATGAGGGAGAGGAGAAAAGAAAGAAAGAAGGAAGGGAAAAAAGCATATGTATATACAAATACAACAATAGCTGGGATAATGCTGATGTCTATTGGTTTATTGAAAGGAACAGTTAATGCTTAAATTTTTTTGACCAATTTTGCATGCTTATATTGGGTCATCTAAGCAACTAATTTGAAGACAACAATATGCAATATAACAACCATTGTTGAATTCCTACTATCTTGTTTAGTGAAGCTCTGCATCATTTCTAATGTTTTTTAATTGCTTTTTATTATCTTTAATTGATCAATCTTGCATTCTTACTTCTGGTAATCTGAGCAACTTCGTTGAAGATAACAATATGTAATACAACAACCATTGTTAATTCCTATCATTTTGTTATGAAATCCTGTACTGTTTTTGTTTTGTTTTGTTTTTGTCATTTTGTTGTTGTTCTTTTCTCTTTAGAATAAAAAATAAAAAAATAAGACACCTAGTGGCCTGATGCCAGAGGCAGGAAGACTGGCTTGCTATTTTAAGCCAATCCTTCACCCAAACCATCTGGTGAGGTTTTCAGCCACTCCAGGTCTCTCTCCTAGTGTGTGTGCTTAATGCCACTTCAAGCATGGCACGTGTCATTCTTGATCATACAAGTCACCTGACTACTGTCTGGCAGAGGGATAGCGGGGCTGACATACAATTGATTATCTCCTTTTCATTTCTCCTTTCCAAGTCTATCCCTGACACTGAAATACTCAGGGTAACAGCACTGAAAGCGGGCTCAGAATAAAGAGCTTATTTCACCATTTGGCTTCACCATACAGCTAAGCTGCTTGCTTAAACTGACCAGCAGGGCTTGGGGACCCCTTCTTTGGGGAAAGTGAATGTAGTGGCATCAGGGGCCAGAAATGACTGGGAAGTGTTGAGCCTGGCTCCATCTCTGTCCAACTTTGGCAAGTCTGAGACCCGGGGTTCACTGTTCCTTGTATATAAAATGGGGATGACCCTCGGATCTGTCTCCTCTGGCCCTTCCTTCCCATGTGTTGTGTGTGGGCTAATTTCTCTGTCACGAGGAGGATCAGTATGAGAAAGAAGAAAGACACTACTGTCACCTCTTGCCCTTGACCGTGGCGGCCCTTGGTGTGACCACAAGATAGGTCACAGCCAGAGGTCCCAGGAGGCTCTGGTACAACTGAGTAAATCTAAGAGAAGGTATCCAAGGCAGGATTGAAGAAAATAAAGATAGACAGGAAGGAGACAAGAGAAACTGTAATTTTAAAATTGTACTTTTAAGGGAACTATAGCTTCAGGACATAAGCAAAGTTACCCAAGGTTACAATGCCCCCCTCACCAACCTTCCAGGCAAACTACTCCAAAATTCCTAAGAGTCTTAAAAGATACAATATGCCTCTAAGTTGGGCCGTTGCTTTTCTCCTGTAAACTGACCAATTTCACAGACTTCTAGCCCCAAGACGACATGAATTCCCCCAGACCATAAGCACCTGCACCCCTTTCTGAGTGTGCTCTTCTTTAATTCTGCTTAACAAACCTGCCTATGCCTCTCTTGATCTATGCTGAAATGCTTTTCTGTGATGAAAGTAGACAAACCTCCTCCATGGAGTGGGAGGGAATCTGAGGTTCCCATACCTTTTTGGTGGCGGAGGTGCTTTCTTGGACCTCATCCAGTGATTCCCCCAACCCTGCTCAGTCTATGCCTATAGGTTTTGGTTTTCTTGTGTACATAATTTTTACTTATATTAAAAATACAGTTCCCTATTTTGCAGAACACTGGAGATGGAAGCCAGGGCCTTGTACATGCTCCATCACCCAGCTATAATCCTAGCCCTGTTTTTGTTTTTACATAACCACATTTACTTTTAAAAATAAACTCTGAATTGCAACTGTAAATGGAAAATGATTGATGCTTGCCCAAAACAGATGATCTTAAAAAGTACAATAAAATAAGAGATTGGGACCCACTCTCCATGTTAGGTGTTAAGACAGGCTAGCACCCAAAGGAGGCTTTCACACTGATGTCATCATAAACACAGAAAGAGAAACAAACCAACAGTTCTGACCATGTTAGTTCATGATCTTTAGTGTTTGCTATATCTGCGCACAGCCTGAAACCATCTTACACACATCGAAGCCCACTTCACAGTAGGCCTGGATTTAAAGGATCCAGGCTGCCTAAGCTAGGGGAAGACCCGAGCTGCTCAATGAGAGGTGAAGTCACAGCTATCAACAAGTGCCAAGCCTGGAACCTAACAACCAGGATTCAGATCCTGGCTCTGCTACTTGCTAGCTGTGACCCTGGGTAAGGAGCCACTTAGCCTCTCTGGCATTAGTTTCAGAGACTGTAGCTGGCACCTGGATAGGCTCATCATCAGGCATGCACGTGTTCATGTAACACAGCACCCCACACACAGCCAGGGCTCTGCAGACCCAGCACCCTCCTTACGAAGAAGCCAGCCCCCACCTGCCCTGTCTGCGCCTTATCCGCCTCCATCAGCTTCCAGTTCTCCTCCTGGGCCCTGGGTTTCTGTAGCTCAGCGGTGCTGGTGTGGTGCTTGCTGACGTCGCCACTGTAGGAGGAGGAGTTGCTGAGCTGCCTGGGAAGCAAAGCACAGTAGTGTCAACCAGGGCTGCCTGAGGTGGGCTTGGCAGGCCCCACGCTGGGGCTATGAGAGGGGGATGTCAAGGCACGCACACACATCAAGCACATACGTGAAGATACACATGCACGCCCTCCACAGCACTCCCCAGGGCTACAAGTCCTCGGGAAAAGGAATTATCTTGGTCACGAATGTGGCCCCAGAGGGTCTGCATGAAGCCGATGCCCACAAGTGGGTGCCAAGTGTTTTCTGAACAACGCCTACATGAAGAGATGGTTCTGGACTCTCCCAAGCGGCTCTGGGCCAAGATCCACCCCTCTCCAGGCCACATCCGTAACACAAGGAGATGGAACTAGTTTGACGCTCTATCTTAGTTTTTTCATTTGGTTTTAATTTTTGGATTATTTTTCATGTTTGAAAGATGGTCTAAGATCAACCCCTTCAATGTGTTTTTAATCTTTGGTTTCTGGAGGTCAATTTTAATGTTTTTGATAACTGCATGTAATTTCAAATTTATAGAAAAGTTCCAAAAATAGTATAATAGCCTCTGTATATCCTCTACCCGGACTTCCCCGCTCCTCACACTTGTCCTCACTTGCTTTACTGCTTAATCGTATGTATCATTCCCTCTGCATACAAATACATCAGTTTCTGAATCCTGTCTCATTTTATTTTCCACATTAAAATAGTTTAACATTAAAGTGCTCCAACATATAAATGAGATATACTCACCACCCACAAGTAACAAACAGTAACTGCTATGGTTTGAACATAGCTTGTCCCCTGTCAACTCACTACAGTCTAACCACGTGGTATTAAGATGTGGCCATGTGAGACCTTCAAGAGGTGGTTAGAATTCGCTCTCACGAATGTGTTCATCCATTCTTGGAAGTGATGGGGAATTTCAAGAGTGGATCAGTTTAGTTAGGTCTCTTGCACTCCTATTCTCTCCTACATGATGCCTTATACCGCCCAGGGTCTCTGCCAGTAAGAAGGTCGTCACTGACGTGGTGGCACCTTCTGGGAGTCTGAGGCAGGAGGATTCAAAGTTCAAGCGCAGCCTGGGTAACTTAGTGGCTTAGCAGGTCTCTGTCGCAAACAACAAACACCCATTTCTTTAAAGGGTTGGGGATGTGGCTCAGTGCAAAAGCCCTGGGTTTAATCTCCAGTTCTGCCCAAAAAAGGCCATCATTACATATGTTCTTTTGACCTTTGCCCAGAACTGTGAGGCCAAATAAACCTCTTTCTTTAAAAACTTTCCAGTCTGTGGTATTATGATTAAAGAAAAGTGATCATGACAGTAACATTTTGTTTTATTTCCCTTAACTCTAACTCATTAGATAGGTCCTGATAACACAGACAAAATTAAACATGAAAAATATTTTACCTTTTTCTCTCTTTCCTTAACCTTAAAACTCAGTTTTTAAGTTGGTATGTTCTCTTCTTACATTTTTTGTACTTTATCACCAAGGTGTACATCCATAAGCATATATGTATTTAATATGGAAGCCAAGAGTTTTCCAATTTTCCTTTCAGTTAAGAAACCTCATTCAGAGCAAGTGCATCAGAGAGCCTCTGCAGGGAATAAAGGGTGAGGGCTTGCCACTTTGAGCCTCCCCCATGGTTGCCATAGCAACCCCTCGGGTTCTTTTTCTAATTCCAAAGTTTTCCAGTTTTATGGAGCCCCTTTTATGAGGACCCTCTCAGACCCCCTCAACACAGGCACGGCAACCCCACATGCCCGCTGGCCCCCAGGCGGTCATGACAATGAGAATGGGGAGATGGAAGGCTCTCAGGGAACTGGGAGTCAAGTCTATAGGATGACAGACTTAGCTCCACCCGCAGTGCCTGTGGTGGCGGTTCTTTCAGTGTTCCTCGATAAAACTGAGGAATGCAGCTATTTATGAGAGATTGCAGAGGCGCAGCCAAAGACAGCATGGCTTTCTCCAGTAACCTTCTATGACTCCCTCAGCCTGCTTATCACCCCCACAAGATCACAAGGACCTGCAGCAGGGGTCCTATGTGACTCACCACAATGCTGCACGCTGTACCCCTAGAGCTGGGTTCCCCGATAATACATCCTGAAGCCAGATAAGTCAAACAGGCTGCTGAGTTTGTGGTCTTTTGTCGTAGGACAGATAACCAACCCAGCCAGAGGTCTGTGGTCTTCTCAGCCCCTTTCCCCACCGTGAGACCCTCTGGCAAGTTCCTGCTATCACCTGTCCCTACATCCCAGAACAATACATAGGTGTGGACCATGGAAGTGCCTCACACCCACTGTATGCTCTGCACATGCTAGCCACGAGTTCCTGAGACACCTGGTCACCACCTGGACTGGTATGTCAATAGGGGAGGACACATTTCCACCTGTACCCTAGGAAAGTGTCAAGCTCAGGAAGGAACTACAGACATTGTTCTGACAGGCACAACTGTTGGTGCTAATTTCCTCCCCAGCTCCATCTCTGTGAAACTGTCCACTCAAAAAAGGTGGAACTCCAGGCTGCCCCAGTTGAGTGCTTGTCAAATGCTAACAGTGCCTGGTACTTGTCACATGCACCATACTGTGTCCACCCTACAACAAGCCCATCTGGTAGGTATTGTCGTAAACTCCACTTGATAGATGAGGAAACTGAGACACAGAGGGCTCTGCACCAAAGCCTATGGGATGCCACTGCCCCAATTACTCAGTGGCTTTAGCAGAAATAACCTGTTTTAAAGCAGTGGAGTCCAGAACTTAGAGCTGGGTCCGAATTTAAGCTCAGCTTCTCTCTACCTGGGTGATCCGCGGACAGCTCTCAGCTTGCTCACTTATGAAATGGAAAGACGACAGCAACTACCTACAGTTCAACAGACCATGCAGGGGCTGGCTCCTCATGGTGGATAAAATACAGCAGCCACTACTAATGTGGTGATTTAAAAAAAAATTTTTTTTTAAATATTGGAAATTGAACCCAGAGCCTTGTGAATGGTAGGCAAGCACCCTACCACCTTCAGTGTCCCCCACTTTTTTGAGGCAGGGTCTCACTAAGTTGTCTAGGCTGGCCTAGAAATTGTAATTCCCCTGCCTTCACCTCCAGAGTAGCTGGAATTACAGGCATGGGTCAACCACGCCCAGCTTATTCTGGCTATTTTTAATCAGACACTGCTCTGCAAAGCCTGACAGGCCCCTGAGAGGACCTGATCAGAGACTCACACCGGGATGGGAACTTGAGGGTCAGGACTGGGGACAGACAGTTCAACTGCAAGGTCTGTGAGAGTTGTGCCACCTGACACGAACAGCATCGACTTGCGCTGCGGGCCTCTGCAAAGTGAGGTCCCAGAGGACTTGCATGGGGAGCACAGAGGGCCCTGGGGAGCTGAGGACCTTGTGGGGCAGGCTGAGTAAGGCGCTGGTACCCTTCACCTCCCTCGCCACCGAGACGGCAGGGTAAAGGCACTGTCTTGGAGAACCCTCAGCCACAGCTGCCCTCACTGTGCTCACCTCTGCAGCTGCTTCCCAGCGGTGTCCATCACCAGCGTGCCATTCTCCATTTGCTTTGCTTCCTTTCCTGGACCGCTGATGCCTGTCATCCCTGGCAGGAAAGAGACAAGGACACAACTGGGATTTGAGAGCTGAGCAAGGCCAAAACGAAAGACAAGAAAACCACCACCTCGGGGCAGAGTGAGCAGGTAAGCTGGCCACCAGGAAAGTCCTGCTTTGTGAGGCCAAAGACAGGCTCTCACTCCTCAGCTAGAGCAGGGCCCTTCAGGGGTGACATGGTTCTAGGCAAGGCCACATGAGCAGAAGGTCCTGGGCTTGGACAGGCGCCCTGTGCTGGCAGTGAGGAGTAAAATCCAGCCTAGCTGATAAGTGAATTTAGCCAGTGGGATGGGGATGCAAAGGACCACACAGAGCCCTTGGGCTGCCAACCACCTCTGATCGGGGGTGAGACTCACAATAAAAACCAACCACTTTGATAAGGGCAGTAGCCAATGAGAAGCCATTGCAGTGCGGGGGTTAACTGCTCGGTGTACAGCTCCTACGGGCCCAGGCTAGGGCTGAGTTCCCAACAACAAGGAGGTATTTCAATACGTAAACTGACAAAGGGTCCTGTGGAGCACCAAACCTGGACAGGCCCCAGTCCCAGAAGGATCCCCAGAACAGTAGCAGGACGATGGCCGGTAGTTTTAGGGAAGCGTCAGCACTGCACTGGGTGGAACCCATCAGCTCTCTACATCTTCACGACTCAGTGAGGGAAGGTGGGTGTTACAACTACTGTGCCCGCTCTGCACGGATTTCCTCCTCCTCTGATGCCAGGAGAGAGGGACGAGCACAACACAAAGCAGCAGAGGGCTGCCCTGGGAGGAAACCGGAAAGAAGTTCCAGATGGGCTAATACGCTGCCAGCAGCACGGTCAGGGCAGTGCTGGGAACGTGCAGTGCATGCAGAATGCAGGAAGCCAGGCTCTCTGAGGTGACAGCCACAGGGAGCCACGGGCAATGCTGGAAGGGAAGAGGGAGCTAAGGATGGTTCCTGAGATGGGGCAGGTGCCCTACACCAGGGATTCTCAATCGTGGTTGGGAATGAATCGCTGAGAGTGAGGGTGCTTTATAAATGAGAAGCCCTGGGTCCAGGCCTGGTCCCCACAGCGACTGAGCTAGAGCAGTCAGGTAACGGGCAGAGGCAGGAAGCCAGAACTCTGGGAGCTGTTCTCTCACTGCTGAGCTGTGTACCGTGAGAAAACAGGAAACCTCTGTAAGCCTCAACTTACCACATCTGCAAAACAGAACAGCAGCAGATCCCACCCTCATAGGCAGGGGCTAAAATGGGATCCTGTGCGGCACCTGGCGCAGCCAGTGCTCTGTGAGAGAAAGACTGTGGTGTTTATACTATGCGCATTTGTCCATGTGATCTACAGAGAATTCTGGGCCTGGCAGGAAATGGAAATCACTACTTTAAATATTCTTTGGCTGTTAGCGTCTGTTCTTCTCAAATAAGCCACAAAAACAGAAGCAGTCCATCATCCAGGAAGGAAGAGTAATAACAAGCAGGACTTCCCATACAGTCGCATACAGTCAGTACTGAGACACACGCACAACCCCGGGAGCCAGGTGTGGCTGTAGCCAGCTTTCTCTATACAGGCACTCCGGCGGAGAGTGGCATGCTTCAGACTCGCTGTCTCCCACCTGGCTGGCCTGGGCCACCCCCCGCAAGCCTTCCCTTCCCTTCCCTGCTCGTCTCTCCTGCAACCCACTGGCTCTCAACAGGAACTCCATGGCGGCATCCCGGGCAGTCTCGCCTTCTAACTACTCATTGGCCCCAGGATGATGCTCCAGCTGGGGCACTGGGAAACTCAACTCTGCCAGGGGGCTGAGGGTCTCATGGGGAGGGACAGCAACAGGCTGGCCTGTGGTACTGCCACCACCTGCTCAAAGGGCCACTCTTGCCTTCTTCCTCCACTCAGGCAGGCTGCCTCATGGGTGCTAGGCTCCCCTGGCCAAGGATGGCCCTGCCCAAGTCCCCGGGAATCTGTATAGTATGAATGCCCGAAGGACCATGACAATCCTACTGGTCTATCCGCAAGAGTCTACGCAGATTCCCAGACTTCTCAATCCCTGACTTTGGCCATTTTTGGAGACAAAAGGTGGCAGGAGTCAGCATCTTGCCTGCAAAAAGTACTTTGTCTGGACCCTTAGCCCTACACCACCCGGTACAGGAGAAGCAGGGACAGCCCAGCCAGCCCGGACTCTGCTGGACAGCACCCCTGCTGCTCTTCTTGCATCGTCTTGGCCTGGGCATGTTTTGACCATGCTTGGGAACACCTGGGTGCCTCTCATCACCCACCCACTGTGTGCCAGGCACTGTACATTGCAGTCCGTGACCTCAAGACAATAAAGCTTAGCCAAAGCCCAGGTGACACTTGAGAGCTGGGGAAACACAAATGTATGCTTAGCACCAACCACAATGCTTAGGGGTGAAAATGTGCAGACATTCAAGGCCCCCTGCCAGGCATGCAGTGATAATCCCGGTCCATCTACAGCCTCCATCTAGCGTCTGTAAGCACAGCTAAATGCAACCCAGGCGCTACTGACCTTCCTCTTCCTTGTTCAACACTTTGCTGCCTGGGGAGTCACAAGATTCAAGAAGGTGTTAAGAATCCAGGGAATGCCCTTTCCCATGCTTCCCTAAACGCCCAGAGAAAATGAATGGATCATCTCAGACGGGCGAGGGGCCAGCACCACTGACACTGACAGGGCCTACCCTATTTGTGCCTCCCAAACACAATGCCTTTCTCAAAAATTCCTGTCCTTAAACATCAAAAGAGTCAGGTGCTGAGCGTATGTTGTTGCATGCCTGTGATCCCAGCACTTGGGAGCTGAGGCAGGAGGAGCAGGAGTTCAAGGCCAGCCTGAACTAACTAGTAAAACCTGTCTCAAAAAAAAACCCCAAAAGCTAGAAAATTAATGCTGCAGAGCAATCTTCCATCTTTTTATCTATCTTCATGGCAGCAGAGAAAAGAAAAGAATTGCGGTGGGGAGCAGGGTAGGGCAGGCATGAAGCTGGGAGGTAGCACGGGGAGGACAGACATTGCCTTGAAGAACAGTCCAGGCCCCACAGAAACTTATACTGATCTCTACACAAGAACCCCAGAAAAGGGGATGAGAAGGTGATTGGGCTCTGATATTATCCCGGACCCTCCCAGAATGGGATACAGCTCTTTTCTGGGCTACCATTATCATTACATTTACCACCAGGATTTCCTGTTATTAGTGTTGGAGCGCCCCGATCAGACTGCAGACTGATTCTTACCCATCATTCTACTCTCAGCCCCTGGATGTGCACTGAACAGCTATGGGAGGCAGCACCATTCCACAGCGTGGTTCATGTGTCCGGTGACCCACACAACAGGCTCTCTGTGTACACCTGAGGGGCAGATGGACAGGCTGACAGCTGAACAGCCAGTTAACAAGCAGAGCTGACCTTCCAAGGCCACAAGGGCATCAGTGCAGCCATAATCAGTAACCTCTTGCACTCTGTATCTATAAAGCTGGCTTCTAGTCTGGCCCCCAGAGAAACTGGTAAAATCAGCTCATGTTTTCTTCTAACCTGGCTGACAGATAGTTTATACAGGGGATGTCCCAAACGATCACGGTGTAATTCACTCACTCACTCACTCACTTATTTAAGGCATAATATCAAGTGTCTACTTTGTCTAGGCACTGTTCTCAGTCCTGGAGATACAGAGGCAGCCACAGGGAGAGAGACAGAAGCAGTAAACAAGCCAGCAGACCCCAAATTTACTGCCAGGTAGTGTTAAGTTCAACAAAGAACAGAAAGCAGGGTAATAGATGCCAGCTCTCTGGAGCTCACAAGCCACCTCTGTCCCACCCTGAGTCCCAGAGGTGCAGCCTGGGCAGAGCCGAGCCAAGCCGCCAGTGCCCACAGCAACCCCTCTAAGGCTGTTTATGCTAACACCACCTTCATTTGGGAAGGGTCTGGACCTCGGCCTGGCTGGGGCCAGCAGGCCGACCTCCCTTGGGAGAAGAATTCAACTCACTGTTGTGTAGGTGCCACCTTGTTTTTGACCAAAAATGGAACTGACTGGCTGTACCATCCAAGCTCACACTCGAACTGCAGCTACAAAAGTTCTTTCCTCAAAAGTGGATGAAATGCAGGCACTGCAGAGTGCTGAGAGGACCGTGCAACCCATTCGCAGCAAGGGGGGCTCTGAGGCTGCTGGGTGGGGTCCTCAGCACTGTCAGTGAAGTGGGGAGGTGCTAATGATCTACCGGAACACAGAAAGCAGGCGGGTGGGGTGTCCGGAGCTGCTGTTAGCATTTGTGGCCTCCTGCACCAGCCCGACTTCTCCAGGGCTTTCCCCTTGCCAACGTCCAGGCCATTCTGCACAGCTCTCCCTTCTCCCCGCAGCCCACCTGCTCTCTCTGTTGCTGTTGTGGAGGGACGGGAATGGGGTTAGGTCCTGGCACTGCATAAACACTGCTGGGCTCTACTCCACAGATACCTGTAGAAACCCCTAATCTAGTGGTAACAGCAAAAACACCTGAAGTGGCCCAAAGTCAAACGTCACTACTACTCATTGTGGGAAATCCCTGATCTGGGTTTTACATTCCCAAAGAAGAAATGCAGCTCAGTGCTAGAGCACCTGCTGAGCATGGCTGCAACCCTGGCTTCATCTCCAGCACTGGGAAAGACGAAAAGAAACCCGCCAGGTGTGGTGGCACAGACCTATAACCCCAGCACTCAGTGAAGCTGAGGGAGAACTGAAAGTTTGGGCCAAGCCTGGGAAACTCAGCAACTTTGTGAGACTCTGTTTCAAAATGAAAATTAAAAGGGGTGGGAATGTAAGACCATGGGTTTAATCCCCAGAAGCACAAAACAAACAAACAAAAACAAAGGAACACCAACATTATAAAAATCGTTTTTGCTTCTAAATGTATGCAGGTTAATAAACCAACTTGTGCACATCTCTGTCATCCTAAGTAAATAGATTTCCTGGAAACCAGTAATAGTAAGTATCCATTGACAGCTCCCCTTTGCCATCACACTGAGAAAGCATCACCCCTAACCAACCCGCCTTTAGCCTGGGTGTTGGGCCTCATGAATCCAACAAGGAAAAAAAGTTTCCCCTTTAGAAGGAGCCAAAAGTGTGGCTCCACAGACCCAAGGTCACTGGTTGGAGCTGGCTGAGGATGCCTGGACACCAGGGCTTCCAGATGAGGCCCCACCAGGCAGGCGGAGAAGGGGGCCGCCTGGTTTAAGGATGTTGCATGTCTCACCTGGCCAGAGATGAGATGGCTGACATGGGGAAGCGAATCCACAAAGACAGTAAGGTGGTGGGTGGTGTTCTTATGATCAAACTATGTGCCAGCATGCACAGAAAATAATAAAGAAATTGGCCACTTTTTATGTTCTGTACAAACTGCTTTGGATACACTCACAGCTGGGGAGAGGGGACAAAGCAAAACTCATCTGAGCGAACAGAGTTTAAGGAGGTTCCTTGATCACCTGGATGGAAAGGAGGCTGGGGACAGAGACCCAGCTGAGAAAAAGAGAGACCAAACCAGACCAGACAGACAGACACAAACACAGACAGATAGATAATCCTGGAAAAAAGGTTCAGTGGAACCCATATCACTCGATTTGGAAAGCAAAACATTGTTTTTGCCTAAAGGTAGTCCACCAGGCAGATCAATGAAGTCGCCATGACCCATCACTTGGGCTAAGAGACAGAGACAGCAGAACTGCAGGAAGATCGAACAGGCTAGATTTAAGGTAGAACTTCCCAGCCATAAGGGCATGAATGTGTAGAAACTCATTCCAATCACAAAAATTAAAAGCTAAAGGGAAAGTCAGTTATAGTACACAGCAAAAAAAACAAAAAACAAAACAAAAACCTCACAAGTACAACTTTTAACACACAAGACTCAGTGAAAGAAGCTAGTCACAAAATATCACATATTATCGAGTCCACTTATACAAAATGACCAGGCTAAGCCAATCTAGAGAGATAGAGAGTAGATGAGTGGTTGCCTAGGACTGGGGGGCTGACAAAAAATGCACAGTGACTGCAAATAGGTATAGGGTTTCCTTTGCGAGTGAAATGAAAATATTCTAAGATTGAATGTGGTAATGGCTACACAACTCTGAATACACTAACAGCCACTGGATGGACTTTAAGTGGGCAAATTGTATGGTACATGAATTCTATCTCAAAAAATCACCTCTTAGAACCTATTAAGAGAGCTGGGCATGGTAGCACTGCCTGTGATCTCAGCACTCTGAAGGCTGAAGGAGGAGGACAGCAGGTTCAAGCTGAGTCTGGGTAACTTAGTGAGACTGTGGCTCAAAAACTGCATAAGGGTTGGGGATGTAGCTCAGGGCAAAGGCCCTGGGTTCAATCCCTAGTACAGTACTGCCAATAAAACACAACAAAAACAAAACCCAACAAAAAACCCACTAAGAGCCTCACAGCGTCTCTTTCACTGAGTGGCTCCGCAGGGGTTTAGACCAAAGTCTGAACGGAGGGCTGTTGTTGTCACCCCGCTGCCCCATCCACCTTGCTCTGGCCACACCGGGCTTCTGTAAGTATCTTACACAAATGGAGATCACACTGGTCCCAAGGCCTCTGTACCTGCTGTCCCCTGAATCCACAACGCTGCTCCCCAGAGCTTTCCCTGGCTGGCTCCTTCCCATGTCTGTCACCTCCTCACAGAAGCTTCTCAGGCTATCCTGTCTAAGTTGCCAGCCTGCACCCCACGCCTGTTTGACCAGTTATCTGCTGCTTTTTTCTTCACAATGCTTAATAGTACCTGAAACCATCTTCATGTGATTTGCTTTTTGTCTTTCCCTCTAGACTTTAAGGTCCACAAGGATAAGGCTTTGCCTGTATCTTGATCACTACTGAATCTCCAAAACCTTGAACCTCAAACAGTAGTTTCAGGTTGACCTGGGGCCCCTAAAATTCATATGTTGAAGCCCTTGCACCCAGAACCTCAGAATGTGACTGTATACAGAAATAGGGTCATTGTAGCGATAGCAGGAATGATCAAAATATATGGTGAATGTTTACATTTAAACATTTATTACAGTAAAAGGCATATTGCCATTAATCTCTTTCAAAATACTCCCTCTTGCTTCAAACAAACTTATCTCACTGTTCTTGCTACTTTGTAAAGTGGTTCTGGAAGCCCTATTTGTGTCTTTATGAGACATGATTAAAAAAATACGGTGGATACTGCTGCCAACTGCCATCCAATGTAAAGGCAGGATCGTAAAACCATTACAGCATGTCCTCGTCCACCTTATTCACTGGATCTGGCACCTGCAATATTTGGCTTTTCCCCAAAGCCAAAATGACCGTGGAAGGGAAACGTTTTCAACTGATTCACTACATCAAACCAGGCACCACAGTGCAACTAAAGACACTCACAAAAGAGGTTCCGAAAGTGGCAAGAATGATGGGATCCCTAGACAAAAGGCATGGCCATGTGGGGCACAGAGAAAGCGTCAGATCACATCTGCCCTGTCCATGTCCATATGGGCCACACCTCTCAGACACGAGTGAGTGGAGGAACCTCTGAGATGCCAGTGTGACCAGCAGGACACAGCCAAGGCTGTGTCGCCCCACACTTGAAGCAACTGGTAAGAGACAACAGGATTCTTAGACATCCACCCTGCCCAGAAGTCTGAAAAGGTGCCCTGGGCCAATGCACTTTCAGATGCCAGTCTGCAGGGGCATCCAAGGCCAGGTAGTCAAGAATGGGCAGGTCTGCTGTGACAGGCCAGGGACAGGCCTTCTCCCCAGGGCTCTAACAGTAACACCTACCGTTTACAGAACACTCAGGAAGGACTGGCCACCTGCCAAAGGCTCTGTGTCCCTCAGACACTGAACCCCCACCCATGCCAGAAGGTCGCTCCTCCTGTCACGCTGCCTTATCAGCGAGGACACAGGCTGAGGCGTCTGAAGGACAAGGCCTGAGTCACCGAAACGGTGGGAGCAGCAGCTGGGATTTGAGTCCAGGGCCAGTGACCCAAGCACACAGGCGCAGTCTCACACTGCATCTGTCCTGAGTTTTACCACATGTCCTCGCCCTGTCTCAGTCTCTGCACAAACAATTACAATAATCATTGTCCCTGTTTTTACCATCAGGACCCCAATGCTCATGGACCCCTGGCTACTTTACAGGAAAGACTGGCTCTTGCCCTTAGGACAGCTGAATAAAGGGCAGGTGCTCTTGGGACCTGGCGCCTGGCCTTCAGGTAGGCAGTCCCCCCCCACCCCCTTTATTCAGCTGGTTCTCCAGCAGGTCCCTGGGGAGCCTGACCTGTCATACACCCTGAGGCCTGCATGAGCCCCCTTCCCCGGGTGGTTGGTAGGAACCTCCAAGAGGCAGGTGTGGTCCTGAGTCGGTGCCCCGCTGCCTTACCATCATCCTCTGAGGCCTGTTCCTGCTCCGCGCTGGCATATGTGCGCAAGAATTCGGCAAAGGCCCCATCCCGGGCTAGCAGCTCCTGGTAAGAGCCCATCTCGGAGATCTTGCCGCCAGTCATGACGACAATGACATCCACCTGCGGTAGGTAGCTGATGCCATGTGTGACCAGGATCCGAGTCTGCAGGGAAGAGCAGAACCCCAGTTACAGGAGCTCACGTGTGAGACAGCCTGACTTGGCACAATGATGGCTAAGGAAGGCATCGCCAGGCCCTGGGCAGCAGCACTCAAACCTGAAGGCAGGACACATACCTGGGACAGAAGTAGGCTGGAGCCCAAGTCTGTGTGCCGTGGTCTGCCCCACATTAGGAGATAAGCACAAAGCTGCAGAGCAGGGGGTATAGCAGGGAACAAGACCAAAAGAGACCCCGACCCAGACTCCAGGATTCTTAGACATCCACCCTGCCCAGAAGTCTGAAAAGGTGCCCTGGACCAATGCACTTTCAGATGCCAGTCTGCAGGGGCATCCAAGGCCAGGTAGCCAAGAATGGGCAGGTCTGCTGTGACAGGCCAGGGACAGGCCTTCTCCCCAGGGCTCTAACAGTAACAACTACCATTTACAGAACACTCAGGAAGGACTGAACCACCACCCATGCCAGAAGGTCGCTCCTCCTGTCACGCTGCCTTATCAGCTAGGACACAGGCTGAGGCGTCTGAAGGACAAGGCCTGAGTCACCGAAATGGTGGGAGCAGCAGCTGGGATTTGAGCCCAGGGCCAGTGACCCAAGCACACAGGCGCAGTCTCACACTGCATCTGTCCTGAGTTTTACCACATGTCCTCGCCCTGTCTCAGTCTCTGCACAAACAGAGGGATTATCATTATCATTGTCCCTGTTTATTTCTCTGCCCAGAAGTCTGAAAAGGTGCCCTGGACCATGCACTTTCAGATTCTAGGCTGCAGGGGCATAAAGAAATAAATAGAAAAAAAACTGTGTGCTGGACAGGCAAGCATAGCCACAACAGGGAACTGATATATGTGGACTTGGTGAGGGTGCAAGTTCAGCGGTGGCGGGGGGGGGAGGTGTGAACCACACAAGCGTGTGAATGAAACTAAGAATGGTGCACCTGCAGAACAGTCTGCATGCAATGGCCTAACCTTTTTTATAAAGCAACTCTCCTTGCCTCCCTTCCCCAAAAGCCATTACAAAACCTATGTATGTATACTTTTAAAATTTTCATTTATTTATTTTGCAGTGCTGAGGGGCAAAGGTATGTTTTCCCTATGGATGTGGAAGTCTGGGAGGACATTCATCCAACTACTAGGAGAAATCAGCTGAACTTCTTCTTACGAGGCCAGATGGTCAATGTTTTTGGCTTTACAGTCTTTATAGTTATGAGGCAAGGACTGAGCTCTGGTGCTGCAGTGTGGAGCAGCCGCAGGAGACGCGCCAAAGCACAAGCTGGGTGCACTGCGCCCCAGTACAGCTTCATTCATGGACAATGATATTGAGATTTAATATGATTTGGGCATGCTGCAAATTATTGTTTAGATTTTTCCCACCAACTTTAAAAAATAAAAAAATCATTCTTAGCTTGCCGACCTCTGGACTCAAGAGAGAAATCAGGGGCATAGAATGCAAAAATTACATGGGATCTGTAAATGTGTGCACATACACATTTCCTTGTGCTCTTAACTTTGGTATCATGGCATGTATTCCTTTGAAAATCGAAAAAATATTTAAGAGCTTTTTGCATTGAGTGTTAGTGGTGTCCACAGGACTGCTTGTAACAGCTTAAGTGCTATGATGCTGTCTGAATAGATAGGTAGAGCATGGTAATCCTATTTTAGAAGTTTATACAAAGAGCAAAATGACTCAAAAGAAACACAGAAATCTAAGCGGTAAGGTTATGTAAAATGGCCTTGGTTTTCCATAAACTTCACTACTCCTCCATGGGCCTTTTCATACTGGGAAGTGGACCAGTGAGCCCCTCCTTCCCTTACTGCTCCCAGCCCAAGCACAGGAACTGTTTCCTATCACACTAAGGTGTCCTGGTGAATTTCATACTCCAAACCTGCATCCTTCAGTCACTTCAGCTTGGAAGTGGAGGTATCTCAGTCCCAGGAGGTCACAGGGTAGGATTTCCCTCTGGGGAGCCAGCCCCATGATTTAATCAGGAAGAGAGGTCACCTTTGGGCAGTGAAGGCAGTGAATTAAAGGCGGTGCCAAGGACTTACCCTATAAGGACGAGTGCAAGTCAGATTCCTTGGGCACGCTTCCAAGGGAAGCATGAGAAATGTATTCAGGTCCAATTAAAAAAAAAAAAAAAAAAGCCAGGGAAGTGGAGGACTCCTAAAGGGAACAATCCTGATTTAACAAAGAGCAGGGAGGTGACAGCACCTTATTCTTCAGCATCCCCTTGGGACCAATCACGTTGTCAAAAATGTGCTTTCCCACGTGGGCATCCACAGCTGAGAGGGGGTCATCGAAGAGGTAGATGTCTGAGTCACAGTACACGGCCCGGGCCAGGCTCACACGCTGCTTCTGGCCCCCGGACAGGTTCACACCCTGGGAGAAATACAGCATAGAAGATGGGTGTCCTGGGAAATCCTAAGACTTGGGAAATGAGAGAGCTACTGAGAGAGCCGCTGCTGGGGATGCAGAGGACCCAGCCAGACTGCAGTGCTGCACCCCAGCCCCAGCACAGCACGAAGGCATCAGAGGGCAGGCACAGCGGCAGTCTCGACCTTCCCATGACAGGTGCTCAAAACACTGCCATGGCTGGCTGGGGGAACGCAGTGGATACCCATTGGGTTAACTTGGCAGACTCGAAGATCCCTGGTAACCGTTTTCCTTTCCAAGGAGCTGCAAATTTACATCAGTTAAAAGAAATCATTATCAGAAAGCTAAGGGAGCTGCCAGCTTGTAACTAGAGACAGACGAACTCTTTGTACCCTTGGTTTTCCAAGAAGTGGCCACTGCCTGCAAGCATGCACCCCGAGCACACACTGGACTGGAACCGGGGCACTGGGGCGAGCCGGCCAGGCGAAGGCCAGGGAGAGGGAGCACTGGCGGCAGCAGCACAGGGTCGGGCAGAGGGGCAGAATATGGGAAGCACAAAGAACAGCCACTTTTCAGGAGTAGCCACATGAATCCAGGGCAGTTACACAGGCCTGTAATCCCAGCTTCTGGGACACTGAGGCAGGAGGATCCCAGGTTCAAGGCCAACCTGGGCAATTTAGTGATTTAGCAAGATCTTGTCTCAAAACAAAGTGTAGCTCAGCAGCACAGCATCCCTGGGTTCACTCTCTATTACTACCAAGATAAATAAGCAAATGGAATAAGTGACCAAAGGTAGCAGGTAAGAACAAGAACACAGGAGTCTCCCTCTTTAATATTCTCTGGCTGTGGGGCCTCAGGCAAGTCATTCACCCTCCCTGGGCACCTTCCTTTCCTCAGCCATCACACAGGAATAACAAATTCCATCTGGTGGCGTTGCTGCGGGGATGAAATAAGAAAATTCTCAGCATAGGGCCTAGTTCAGAGCAAGTGCCCTGTAAGTGCTAGCTATTATATTATCACTTTTATTAGTTATCACTTTTGCAGGAACTGTGCACAGGAGAAACACCCACAGCCCTCCTCCCTGTATCTACCTCTGTCAACCCTGCAGCCATGCGACTGCGACAGTGGAGTGCAGCTCCTATGACTTGCTTTATGTGTGAGTCAGGGGCACTGCATGCTGGTTTGGTTGTTCTTTGGGCTTCTGTTACATGAGAAGACTTTCCCCTGGGAAGCTGTGGGGCCTCACCCAGGCCCCAGCAAGAACCCATGCCAGGTAGACTGAGCCAAATTCCCAGAGTTCTGCTGGCTATAAGCATGGAGCACAGCTTCACTCCCAGCAGAGCTAGCCCAGGACACCAATCACAGCTGGTCACAGATCCACAAACAGGACAGTAAGAGTTCAATGTATGCCACTGAGACCACTTGACTGCTACACAGTAAGAGCTGACTGATCTAGGAGCCTGATGCTGACACCATACGAACCTTCTCACCAATCTCGGTCCGGTCCCCGCTGGGCAGGATTTCCAAGTCTGGGAGGAGGGCACAGGCCTTGATGACAGCCTTGTAGTGCTGTTCCTGCAGCTGGCGCCCAAAGAGGATGTTTTCTCGGAGAGAGTCATTCTGAATCCAGGCCTGTTGGGGAACGTAGGCCACCGAGCCCTAAACGGTAGGTGGAGAAGAGGTGAGACAGACAGAGATTCAATCAATGAGACAGCGGCCTACATACCACTCGTCAAGAGAATCCTACTATGCATGACATTTTCATTACACCTGCTGCTTCAACAAGAGGGAAATTGAGTCACACAGACCCCCTCTGAGGTCAGTTGCTGACTCCAATAACAGGAGTTAAACAGCTGAAGTCCTGCGGGGCATGGTGGCACACACTTGTCGTCCCAGTACTCAGGAGGCTGAGACAGGAGGATACCGCAAGTCCAAGGTAACTTTGAATTACACAGTGAGACCTTGTCTCAAAAAACAAATCAAAATGAAACAAAACAGAGCTGAAATCTTGAGTGCTAAAACTGTACTTATGTATTTAATTAAGTATTTACTGAATACCTATGACAGTGATCGAAAGCCTGCCTCCAGAGATGCATTCCTCATGGGGCCAAAAGAGTAATCTGATTATCGGGAAATGCGATGGGATAAAAATATATGAGACCTTTAAAAAAGGTCCTTGAAACCTGGGTGTGGTGGCATATACCTGTGATCCCAATGCTCAAGAACAGCGATGGCGACCCTATGGCACACATCTGTTATCATTAAAAAATTTGCCATCACTGCTCTAGAAGGTTGAGGCAGAAGGGTGCCAAGTTTACACCAAGCCTCAGCAATTAGTGAGACTTCATCTGGAAAAAAAAAAAGAAAAGAAAAGAAAAAAAAGGGGGCTGGAGATATAGCTCAGTGTGAAGGCCCTGAGTTCAACCCCTACTGCAAAGAGGAGCGAAGAGACGAGAAGAAAGGGGAAGGGAGGGGAGGGGAGAGGAGGGGAGGGGAGAGAAGAGGAGGGGAAGAGAGGTGAAGAGAGGAGAGGGGAGAGATAGGGAGAGGAGAAGAGGAGAGAAAAAAAAGAAAAAGGCCTTTAAAAAGTGCTGACCTAATTTAGGGCTTTGGGGAAGGATTCCTTGAGGAAATTTCCCCAATGAAATTTAAGGATGACTTCTATAGCAAAGTGGACCCTGTCAAACGATGTTCTGTTCTTATTTTCACATGATGGAAGTATTAAGAGTAGTATGAGACTATGGCTAAGGCTTAGCCTATTTCTTTTATGGGTTTTAGTAGTAAAAACATTGAGGTGGTTAAAAGAACTTGTTCTGAACAAGGCAGAATGGTGAAGGATCAGACAGTCTCACAAGGAAGAGAGAAGAACACTGAAGTCAAGGAAGCAGGGCTGAAGACAAGAAGCACTTGGTACACTGAGGACCCAGAGGTCAGGGCGGCCAGGGCAGGGTGGACCCTGCGAAGGGCAGACAGACAGGAAAGAGTCAGGGGCAGCAGGGCCAGCTCAGCCCAGGCTGATGGTCACACTGATCTGCGTCGTTTGTGAGAGCCACCAAAGCCGTTTACATAAGGATTCTAGGGGGACGAGGCTGGGTGGGGAAACCAGGGGCCCTTATGCCTGATCCAAATTCTCAGATAAATGACCAAACCGCTGGTTCTAATACCCTAACTTATAAGGGAGCAAAATATCAGACTATCAAACCTACAGATGATTTAGCCATTGTAGGCACAAGCCATACCTACAGAAACATTTATAAAAATTAATTTTTAAAATATATTTCCAGCACTGTCTTTACCAGGGCAAAACAACCAATCACAAATAGTTATCTGAGCCCAAAGTCAGCGGTGCTTGGATTGCAGAGACCTAGGTTAATGACAGAGAAGGTGAGGCAGAACCTGCTGCGGGATGGGATTTTCCTTCCCTGCTCCAGCTCACACTGCCCATTATCTTACTTTACAACATGTGCTTAAAAATTATGATAGAACATTTCTTAAAACAACAGCTAAACAGCATTAACTGGGGCCCAACTACTATAATGTCTGCTTTCAAAAAGGCACCATATAACTGACCAAGAAAGGATTTTGCCTGCAATGAAAACAATGGCACAGGCTATCACTCCCCAGTAGAAATTCCACAAGACAGGCGTTCTGACAACTTGTAGAGAACGCAAGGAGGTCTGGGCGAATGTAGGTGTGACACATTGGTTAAACGAAGCTAAGTTTCTTTGATTTGCAGAACGTCTCAGAGCCTTTCCTTTGTGAATGTTTATTATAAATTTCCAAGAGGGATGGAAGGAGGGTATGCAGTATTTCCCAAGCTTGTAGGAATCTAGGGCCTTTTATTCCCTAAACATCCAGCAAGATGAATTCATGGCACATAGCACTCCAGAAAATGTTGGTGTCAAATTTTACGGAATTTATTTCTACACCAGGAAACGCTGCTGGGGGAGAGATTAATGTGCAAACCAAGGCTCTTGACTTTCAGTGGGACTTATTAGTACAGGAGCCTCTTAAGCTCTCCCAAGGAATTTCAACTTAGTTCAAAGTACTCTATTCAAAAGCAATAAAGCCACACTGTTCTATCATTCCATGGTAAGATTTTAACAAACACTCAGAATTAAAGCTGTTCCCTCATAAATAATGCTCTGGGAAAATATTCCAACCATGTAAATCAATACCTCACAATTTTGTTTCAGAGGGTACAATGGCACACACTAGTAATCCCAGCTCCCTGGGATCACAAGTGCAAGTCCAGCCTGGACAACTTAGTGAACCATGTCTTAAAATAAAAAAATTAAAGAAGGACTGGGGATGTAGAACAGAGCGGAGGCACTGGGGTCAATCCCTGGTACAGGAGATTTGTATTGGTAAGAAGAGAAACACAGAGAGAAAGAACAAGCCAGAGGACACATGCAGAGAGACCACAAGATGTAAAAGAGGAGTAGAGACTGGGAAGGCAGGAAAGACAGAGCGAACCACAGGGATTTGTATGTTCGCCATGCTTACTGAGGGCCTGCCCCACATCCGCACTGTTCTAGGAGCTGGAGTACAGCAGGGAGTGACTGATCGATAGCCTGATTTCTGGCATGGAGAAGAGTACGGAGAAAAGAGAGAGAAAGAGAGGAAGTGAAACTCTTTGTGCTCTGAAATGGTCCTAAAGGAGAACAGCTCGGTCCTTGACCCTCCCTGCAGCCACCCCCAAGTCCTTGTCCTACCTTGAGAGCCACGTGACCTTCCAGCTTGTCCATCTCTGCCAAGAGGGCCGAGAGCAAAGATGACTTTCCACAGCCCACCTGGCCTACCACAGCCACCAAGGCGCCTTCCGGGATGGAGAAGGTGATGCTGGAAAGAGAGAGTGCACCTACCTCAGCCCCAGCAGACAGAGAGGTAGAAGCAGGTGGACACAAGGACGTGGTCACGAGCATTTAAGGTCTCAAAATTCCTTTCACCATTTCTATAGCTGAGGCCAGCTCAGTGAGTTGGCTCCGGGCTCTAGGGTGGTGCATCAGGTGTTAGGCAGATGCCAGGTGTGAGGCAGAGGCTGGGAGGTAATGCACATTGGGAGGGGTAGCGAGAGCCCAGTGGTGGGGTATCAGGTTTAGAAGACAGGTCATCTCCAAAAGAGCCCAACAGGAGGAGCAGGTGAGGTCCAGACACCCGCACCTGGCAGTGGGTGACAGGCCCAAAGGGGGGAAGGCTGGCTACAACCAGGGATGGAGATGGCGCTGAGCAGGTAGAGGATGGCAGCCAGGCCCAGCAGGACCTTAAAGAATGTGATGCTGAGACACCTGTTCTTTGCTAGCTGGCACCACCAAATAACCCAAGGGGACAGTGACATGAATTGATCTGAGCAGACTTTCAGAAAGATACCTCTATAGGTACTGGCCTTTGATAAGTAAGTCAACAAAGTAAGATAAAATAAGCTAACTGCTCTACTAGCAAGACCAGCTATCACATGAAGGTCAACAGCCTTGGGCACTACCACTGAGACACCACAGTCCAGCCAGGATCCACCAGAGAGGGGTGGCCTAGCAGGGCTCCGTGCTCCCCTATGCTAACTGCTTTTCACTGCTGCTGTTCTAACTTCACTGTGTGAGTAGAGACACTGGTAGATTTTTCTCTCTCTCTGCTCCCCCATGCTAGACATTGAACCAGGACTTTGTGCATGCTAAACAGGCACTCTACCACTGAGCTACCTCCCCAGTCCCCGAACACTAGTAGGCATTGTACTCATCAACTGTTCAAGTCTTATGATCCTGCTGCTGGGTGACGTGCCTTATTCTCTCATGCCCAGGTGGGGAAAGGGTTATAGGCCGCATTGGATAGGAGGCCTGGGCAGGCAGCACCTGTCCTCATCCACATGAGACTGGAATACTGTCCTAGGCTGGGGGAGGGAAAGGCTGAACAGAGAAAGGTGGCTCCAAGGGGTAGAGTGACTGGAATAGGAAGGCCTCTGAGACTGGAAGGAGGGAGAGAAGGGGCCCCAGAGACAGATTAGCTGTGAAGCATGACAGAGGGGAAAGTTACAAACAAAACAGGTAGGATTTAAATTAGACATAAGCAGAACTTCCTAGACATGCAATCCCACCAAAAATTTTCAATAGAGATAAAAAAAAAGATAGTTTTAAAAAAGATAAGCTCTTCTTTTCTCTGAAGTTTGTCACCTGCTTGAAAAAAAATATAGCAGTAATTTGGCCACCCAGTCACTTGGCCATTTTCTGGGAATTCCCTAAGAAGGTTTAAGAGAACTGTGAAGCAAGAGTGAGACGGATGTGATAATCCATCCACCTGTAATCCCAGCTCTGGGAGGCTGAGGCAGTAGGATTACAAGTTCAAGCCGAACCTGGGCAATTTAGGGACTTAGTAAGACCCTGTCTCAAAATAAATACAAAAGGCTGAGGATGAAGCTCAGGGCAAAGGCCCTGGGTTCAATCTCAGTAAGTGGGAAAAAGGAAAGGAAAGGGAAAGGGAAAGGGAAAGGGGAAAAAAGCAAAAAAGAAAAGAAAACAAAAGAAAGACAGAGAGAGAAAGATAAAGGGAGGAAGGGAGGAAGGAAGGAAGGGGGAAAGAGAGAGCAAGGGAGAGAGGAAGGGAGCATGCGTGAGTAAGCAGGCAGGCAGGCAAGCAGGCACATACCAGTCCCTTGGGAAATGAGGCCAACTCGCTGGACACAGTATGCTGGGGGAAGATAAGGACTATAGTGGGCAGGGTCCAGGTGGGAAGGTGTTGAAAAAGGGCTGACCAGGTGAAGGGGGCCATGGAGACAACAGAAAAGCATAATTCCACCCTAATCAGAAACATGGTGGCAGATGGTATCTGCCAGCACAGCAGCTGTGGACTCCACCTGGTCACCAGCATGCCCGCCAGGGGCACTGACTGGTTCTGGAAGGACCATGTGACCTAGTCTAGACCAATGGGAGGCACGTAGCCTCCCACCAATGCACACAGACACATTGATTGGTTCAGGGAGGAGCATGGGACCTGGATGGGGCAACAGGAGGCAGGTAGCCTCCTGCCCAGTATACCTGGAACTGCAGATTGTCACCCCACAGGAGAGGAAGTCAGAGAATGAAGCACAGAGGGAAGTGAAACAAACCGTGGATATACAGAACTCTGACAGCACAGGCTGAGGCCCTGGGTCACAATGCACCAGAAAGCAGAGCATCTCGGTTATGAGGGCCCAAAATCCCCTTTGTTGCCTAGCTGTGCACAGTTCTTGTCAGTTACCCCTGGGGAACCGTCTGTGCCAGGAACCTTCTCACCTGTTCCTCACAACAGCCCATGAGTGCGACTAAACCTATTTTCCAGATGAGTAAACTGGGGCTCAGAAAGGCAGAGAGATCTGCTTAAGGACACATGTGCGCCTACAGCTCTCCCCACGTGCGTCCACACCCTGGCTTACCCATTCAGTGTAGGGGCTTCACCTCTGGCCCATGTGAACGTGGCATTCCTCACGGTAATGCTGTTTGTCCCCGCAGCTGGAAAGCACCACAGACAACATGTCAGGCACAAACAGCACAGGGACTGAGCGGAAGCAAACTGCTCTTTTCTGTTTTTCCTCATCAAGTGGTTTAACCTCAGATGCCAGAGGCTAAAGGCCTGGGCCTTATCTGATGACATCAGCCACAATTCCTGAACAAGAACACTGATCTGCAGCTGTGGAGGTGGCCGCAGACCCAGGTAACGAAACCACCAGAGGTCGGCCCTGTGGGACAGGAGGCTGTGGTCCCAGAAGCCAGCTTAGAGAGGACGAGCAGGGGCCCACACGGGGTGCTCAGTGCAGCTTGAGGCAGCCAAGGTCAACGGGGAGAGGGGACCAAGTACTGCCCACATGTACATCCTCCCCTTGGGGTGGCCCCACCACATGGAAGCTTTTCTCGCATTCAAAATGAGGTCCCTCGCTCTTCAACTGCTGAGTCCTGGCTTGGCCTCCCAATGCTTTTTGCTGCGTCCCCTCCCTCTCTCCAGCCCTACCACCCTGCACACCTCCCGGCAGGTCAGTCTTTCTAAAAGAGCAGTCATAATAAACTGGACACAAGCAGGTTGTGAACAGGAAGTGTGGCAGGCACGCTGGGGGAGCGGGGAGATCTAAGACAAAGCCCGCATTATATGTTCCCGGGGAGTCCCAAGCTCCTGGCCTCTCTGTCTCCACTTGCTTTGTATGCCTTTGTTTTCCTTTCACTTCCTATACCTTGATTAAAAAAAAAAAAAAAAAAAAAGTTTCTTAATTACCAGCCACCTTAAAACCATCCAGAAAATACAGGGGTAGTTTTTAAAGTTATCAAAAGAAAAAATAACTTGCTCCGTGCACCAAAGAAACAAAAAAAACTGTGGCAAGAGGAAGTGACTGGTTGGCCTAAATTAACCTTCTCCCTCAGCTCCCCCAGGAGAGGAAACTGCTTGTTTGACGTTTTGTGGTGCTGGGGAGCAAATCCAGGGCACCCTGAATGCTACCACTGAGCCACATCCCCAGACCCAAAGAGGAAACTGGAAGGTGCTATTTAAGGAATTTTGGAAAAAACCACTGCAGCCAGCCTGCAGCTGCCAAGGCACCCTGTCCGGCACATGCAGGGAACACGGATAAACATCTCAGAAAGCAGCAGGACAGGAAGGCCCAGGGGTTTCTGAAGCTTGTACGGAGCTGTGAACAACTTCATGCAAGAAACCTCCTGTGGCCTTCTCAAGTTTCAACCGGTATTTTGCAGAGAAAGGAGGCCCTGGTGTGGATGGCACTGTGCCCATACCCTGTGAGGTGACTTGGCCCTTGTAGCAGCAGAAATCTGGGGAGGAAGATTCCAGCATCCTCCTGGGCAGGAGTTCTCACAGAGGGATAGCCGTGTCCCCTCAAGGGACAGATGGCAAAGTCTAGAAATGGTTTTGGCTGTCAAAATTGAGGAAAGAACCCAACGGACAAAGGCCAAGTATGCTGGATGATATGTACAATTTACAGGGTATATCTCAGTAACCAAGGATGACCAGGCCCTGAAGTGTCCAGCGTGAGGAGCCTGCTGCAGACGGCAGAGCTGAGGAAGCTGCTGTCACACAGACAGGTGACAGCGGCCACACTCAATGAGTAGCACCATCTATGTGCCAGACATGTCATGGAGTATTTCCTGTGCCACTGAAGACAGCTGAAAGCCTACTAGGCACCCGGCAATCATGACACTTCATAATCAACGTCTGTACATATTCGGCACTCTGGTTTTATTTATGGGACTCTGGAGCCAGATCATGTGGGTCTGAATCCCTGTGCTACCACTTTCCAGCTGGGCAGCCACAGGCAAGTTGCTTAACTTCTCTGTACCTCTCTTTCCTTCTGTAAAATGGGATAGATGATAATGAACCTCAGAGGGCTAGAGTAGGAGGCAAGGAGGAAATATGCACAGAGTGCTTGCAAAAGTGGCTGCCACACAGTAGGTGCTCAGTGAGTCTCAGCACAGCAATGCCACAGAGCAGATAAGGACACAGACTCTCCTAACCGGCTGGGGATGTGAATCCTGGCTTGATTTACACGCTGAGCGATTTCAAGCAATTACTTAGGCCATTTTCCCTACTTGTAAAATGGGGGTTTCCACAGCTGCCCTTCCAGTGTGCATGCCAACTAGGGATAACTTAATGCACCAATGCCCTTAGGAATTAACATGCAGGCGGGAAGTCACAGAGGTCGACATGTTGCTTTGGCTGGTGTCGTTAATATTTATTCTAAATGCCTAGTAAGACGGCAATAGACAAGTCCCCTGCCCAAGGGAGCGGGACGGGAAAGGGTAAAATAATACTTTATAAATCAAATAAATCTACAATAAAAATTCATAGAAAAACCCTCTTAGAGAAAGGTACTTCCAGTCCCAGTATCCCAGTGAGGAAACCGAGGCTCACACCTACATGGACATGGCTCATGAATGATGCAGTTTGGCCAGACAGACTCTGCCTGTCTATCTGCTCAGAAAAGGATCAAGGTCTGGGGCCCGGAACCTGACTCCAGAGGCCTCGGTCAGGGGCTTTCCTCTCAGCCTGGAGCAGGAAAAGTGCAAGTTCATCCTCTTGGGATGTGTGAGGTAAGAGGCTCCCTCCCAAGCGGGGGGATTCCAGGACACTTGGCTTCTTATCCTGTCTCCCCTACTCTGCTTAGGCCTTGCTCCCTGCTGTCTTGGAGTCAAGCTGCTGGGCAGATGGGAATCCAAAGGCAGCCCAGGGCAAGCATGGTTGGAGTCGGGAAGCTGCACAGAGGGAGGTGGGGACAGTGGCACACACCATCTTTGACAGGCTGCCGCTCAATGCTACCAGGCTCCAGCTCCTCGTGGGAAAGGAAGATCCTCAGGCGTTTGAGAGAGACACTCGCCTACACAGAAAGCAATGACAGGGCATGGTTAACTTTAAAAAGCATTTTGCAGAACACACCCCAGCTGACTTTCAGTGGTTTCCCCTGGGCGGAGAGAGGCTACATCCTCCCTCAATTCTTAAGGCTCTGTACAGTGCCTCTGCTTCAGAATAAAAAATAAAATGGGTTTTGCTTCTTGTTTTTCTTCAAAAGGCCACAAAAGGCAGTAAAGAAGGAGGGGGTACTCAGTGGAAAGGGACTTCACAAACCTACAAAGCCATGGCAAGGAGCCGGCCAGTCATGGGACGATTCTGGGATATTTCAGGAAACTTCAGTATAGACTATTATTTTAAGAAATTACTGGCACATTGGGTTTGGTATGATAATGATGTTATAATTATGTAAGATGAAATGCACACTCAGGTATTTATGAGCCAAGAGTCAAGAGGTCTGGGATTTGCTTTAAAATTCTGCAGCAAAGAAAAAAGGAATGAAGGAGGGAACAGGGAGGGAGGGCCAGATGAAGCCAGTGCAGCAAAATGCTGATGCTGGGCGTAGGTGACAGGGATGAGAGCTCATATTACACTGTTTCTTCTACTTCTATGTACATTTGAAAATTTTCATAATGGAAGGATGTTCTGTTTTTGTTAAACAGCCTACAACCAGAGGTGTACAATCAAATCTTCAGGGTGAGTTTTCTATGTAGCTAAAAATGGAGTAGAATATGTGCAAAGCTAAGGAGAAAAATGTGAATAGTGCAGGCAGAAAAGTGGCAGGGGCTGCAATAGTGCCTAGAAGTAACACAGTCAGGTTTCCTTTGCTCAATGGGCCGCCGGCAGAACTGTGGGGATTCTACAGCATAGGCTGGGAGCTTCAAGGAGGCTGTGAAATTAATCAAGGGTCAAGAGCTGTGTTTTTGAAAAAGCAGGCTAAGACAGGCCAGGGTGGCAGAGAACATTCCAGAAAGATTCTTCCAGAAGATGGGGAAGGCCTTGTTGCATTAAACTTTTGCGGGGAGGGGTAACTAGGAATCAAACTCATGACCTCATGCTTGCCAGACAGGCGCTGTGCCACTGAGCTATATTCCCGGTCCTCACATTAAACTTTTAATTCATACACTCAACCAGGAGTCCCCATCAAGAAGTAAAATGTCTCTCTTTGTGCCATGACCAAATCAGCAGACAGCCGGTGTCCAGGCCCTGCCAAGCCCACGGGCACACAGGGTGGTTAAGGCATGGGCAGGACTCCCGTGCCCTCTCTGCCCTGCCCCGCTCAGTACCTGCACGATGCTGCTGATGACCATGGGGAGGATGTTCAGGGGAAAGCGGAGGATGTTGAACAAGGCCAAGGACACGAAGGCTTTCTGGGCATCCAGGACGTTGTTCTTGTCGACAGTCACATAGACGGCAAATGTAGACAGGGCCACCTGAAAGCAGGACACCCAGGATGGAATGCTGTGCCTGAATGAGGGTCACAGCCACAGCTCCTAGGGACACACATGCAGACCCTCCCCACGCGGCCGTGCCATGTTACAGAGTGCCAAAAGCCCTGGGTGGCAGCTGCTCACTGTCGAAGAATAACGTGGATAACGAACAACAGGCCAAAAGTCCCAGCAGCTGCCACCAACTTCCTCAGGGACACTGTGGGGCATCGCCCTGCTCCTCGACAACACTAAGCGTGTTCCCACTGCCCGACCTTTGCCCCAGCCGTCTTCATGCCATTCCCTCAGCACTGCTTACTGCCCTTCACCTTCCTAGAGGGCCCTGCCCTGTGGCAGCCCTGCCCAGTCCTCCAGCCTTGACTCCAGCGTCCTTCTCTTCCCTGCACCGCTCACTACCTTGTACAATAGTATTATATGGGTTTATCGTTCACTTACGCACCAAAACGCGCACTCCTGGCGGGGTCTTTGTCTTCTATGCATCGTGCCCTCTGTGCCTAGAATGACCTCTGGCGCTTAGGAATACTAACGACAACCTCAGGTAGGTTTATTTCCTCTCCCAGGGCCTCACCTACCCCTTGTGGGAAATGCAGATGGAGGGAAAGTGTCTCTGTTTAACGTTCCTTCCGGCTCATACAGCACATGACTTTATGCTCCAAGGAAAGAAACACTTTAAAAAAGAAAACAAAAGGCCTAGGTATGGTTCTGGGGCAGCCCATCTGTCCACACAGACTCACCCCAAGCCCTTGGTGGCTCCCAGGGCTTGATCCCCGGGGCTCAGAGACCCCTAAATTGGGCTTGGTGGTCTGAGGTGGCAGCATCTTCCGCATCAACTGCTTCCTGTGCCAGGAGAAGGGGAGGCCCTTGGCAACCCCTGGCAGGCAGCCTGGCTAAGGAGGTGGGGGAAGAACAACTGATAGATTTGGAGCCCCACACTCTTACCCACTGCCGGGAGGAGACAGCATCGGGTGTCACCAGGTGGGGTCACCAATGGGACCCCATGGGGTCATCCTGGACGCAGTATCTGAGTGATATGGAAAACCTTGGGCCCTGGTCTCTGCACAGGAGTCCCGCCCTATCTCAGCCCTTCATCTTGGAGCCACTGAAGCATCCCCACGGGAATGAACCTGGAGCCCAGGAAAGATGGCAGGGTCAGGAGAGACACACACCCGAGCCCTGGGGCCAGCAGGGTCCTGTCTTATTTTCGGGGTTTTGGCTGCACCATTTCACTGCTACCTACTGGACGGTAACAGAACTTAAAGATTAAAACCATTAGCTCTGCCATGTCTCCGCTGTGTGGCCCTAGGCCCCTTCATGGCTCCAAGCAAGCCTCTGTTTTCCCACCTGTGAAATGGAGCTCATGGACTCCTCTGACAACTGCAGGCAGCAAGGACAAAGCTCCCAGAGGAGTGCTCAGAACAGGCCCGGCAGGGAAAGCCAGCCTGAGGCAGCTGCTCTCACTTTCTTCTGAGGAGCTGAGAGAGTGCCTGGTGCCGCCAGCACACAGAGCTGGTTCCTGTTCTGGCGCTGACATTAGCAAGCCAACTGACCCTGCACAAGGCTCTGAAGCTCAGCGGCCCCTCCACAGGCCCTGACACACCAGCCTTGGACCCAAAGACACTCTTAAAAAAAAATCTCAAATCTATTTTAAACTGATATATAAAAACTGTGCATATTAATGAAATGCCATGTAAAGTCTCGATAACATGTTCATTGTGTAATATTTAAATAAGGCTAAACATATCCATCTCCTCAATCATTTCTCATTTCTTTACAGTGAAAACATTTCAATCCTTTCCTTCTAGCTTTCTGAAAGGCACAGTACACAGTTATCATTGCCACCCTACCATGCAATAGCTCACAGAGCTTCTTGCTAACTGTAACTTAGTACCCATTGATAAACATTTCTCCATCCCTTTCCCCCTCAAAAATATCCTTTACTCAAACCTCCAAATATATCCATACAACGAGTATTATTCAGTCCTTAAAAGGGAATGCAATTTTCACCCCCGGTGCTGGGATGGAACCTCATGCTTGCTAGGCAAAGACCCTACCAGTGAGCTACAGCCCCAGGCCAAGAATGCAATTCTTACACATCTTCCAACAAGGATGCACCCTGCAAACGTCAGTCTATGTGAAAGACAGACACAGAAAGCCACCTAGAGTTTGCCTCCCTCTCTATGAAATGTCCTGAACAGGTAGCTCTTCAGAGGCAGGAAACAGATTAGTAGTTGTCATGGGATGGGGAGCAACTGCTAATGATAATAGGGCTTCCTTTTGGGGTAATGAAACTGTTCTGGAATTGGCAGTGAAATAGCAAAGTAGAAAATGTTATGAAGTTACACAACCTGTATGAAAAATATGGAGTCATATACTTTAACATGATTACATCTGTATTAAAAAAGAAAAAAAACAACCTCTCTAAAGTCAAGCAATTACCTAGTACAGAATCCAAAGCCTTAACCCAGGGCCAAGGGCCCACCTGATCCATCAGAGGCACCTGATTCATCACTTGTCTGACTTATCCAGCCACATTCTCCTCGCTCTCTCCTGCTCCATGGTTATCCCACCTATGGGCAGCACAGTCCCACCCAGGGCCTTTGTACTGCTCCTCCTCCCTGCCTGGCCTTTTCACTGCCATCTGGTCTGGACTTCTCTGACCACCCTCTTCAAAACTGCAACCCGCCCCCCCCCCCACGGTGCCACTCAGACACAACTGTTTAAAAGTTCTATAGCACTTCTGATAGTGTAGCAATCCAATATGATTGACTGATTGATTGTTTATTGTCTGTCTCTCCCAGTTAGAATGCGAGCAGGCATTGGTATCTGTAGTATTCAGTCCTCTATTGTTAGTGCCTAGCACAGCACCTGGACCACGGGAGATATTCAGTACATGTTTGCTGGCAGGATGGATGGATGAGTGGGATGCAGGATATGTCTGAGGACAGAAGCGAATCCACTCAGAGGCATCCTTGAGCAGTAAAGAAATCAGGCCTCAGGCAGCTCACTGTCAGAACATAACCCCCTCTGTTGACCAGAGGCTGCATGCTGGCAGCTCAGGGACCACATGGAAGGGACAACATCATGCAGCCTGTCAGGCCTATGACATTGGTTTTTCCAGGAAGTGGAGGTCATCCACCCATTATTAATTAAGCACCGAATGTGCAGAGGGCATCAGCCTAAAGGCTGGGGCTAGGGGCAGTGGAAGGCTGGTCTTGCCTGAGGAGCTTGAACTGCAGCCCAGCTCCTAAATTCCCAGTGCCTCCTTCTGTAGAGAGATGCTTTTGTTGTCTCCCAGCATCTGTGCCTCTGGTTCTGGAGCCACCCCTGTTTTCCCTTGGGAACTGACATTCTTCCAGTCTCAACCTGTGAGTGCCTCAGTCCAAGCATCCCATCTCCCAGGCACAGTGACTGGTCCAGGAATAAGCACGTGACTCTTTATGTATAATCAATGAGACTATGTTGTCCAGCTTCGTAACAACTACTCAGGGGAAAGTGGGGTGGTCGAAAATTGGGATTCTCTGCTCACAGGTGTTGCTGAGGTGACAGAATGATCTAGAAATAGTGGCTGACAAAGACTCTGCCATGAAGAAAGCAGAGTGGAGAGAGTTATTTCCAACTTTATCTCAGACACACTTAGATCCTGCCATTCCTGAACCCCCAGCCATACTTAAAGCACTTTCTTACTCAGTTTTATGGCTCAAAATCCTCCTGTCTTTTTTCACTCTACTTGATCTGAGTTAGGTTTCTGTCGCATGCAAGATAGTTCCTGACTAGTACAGTTCATTTCATTCATTCATTCAACGACATATATTTACCAAATGTGTACCATTTGCCAAGTTCCCTCTGCTCTGGGGATACCAGCATTAAATGACATGGTCTATATTTCTACAGACCTTACTATCTAGTCAGCAGAGAACTATATAACAGATAATTATGGGATAATAATCATTCCAATGAAGACGTACAAGGTAAGTAGAAGGCAAGAAAGCTAACAAATCATCTAAGACGGAAAATGCTAAACACTGACAGGCTGCTTGGGGCTGCTATTTTAGGAAAGTATACCAACTAAGTGGACATGACAAATGCCAGACTCTGTGTTGCAGAACGGCAGCCCCATTCGCCCCGCTGGACAGCATCCCCAGGCCGCTCTGCCTGCCCCAGGCCTGTCTTCCATCACATGTACCACTGGGTAAACAGCGCATCCTCCTTGGAGCACAAGAATTCACCAGTGGAAAGAACATGAGAGAACGTTCCAAGGGAACCACAGGCCACATATTTTATCCTAATGTAGTCAGAGGCCTTGGTGTCTTGGCCGGGGCCAAGGTCTTTGGCTGACACCCAGGCTCATCTGATCCTTGCCAAACAGCTCAATAAACTCTGTTCCTGGAAGCCCAAAGCCTTCACCCTTCACTACCCACCTGGAAACTGAGAGGGAAACTCAGAGGTCACAATAAGCCCATGTGGCTCTTCAGTATCTTTTGCTGTGGGGATTTCTAATGGGGACCAGGACAGGAAATGATAAACAAGGGACTAGCATGTTAAGGTGACAACCTGGACATCATAGGTTCTGTCAAAGGATCCAATATGCACAGGGTTATGAGAAAATCTTGCTCTACCCCCATCCCTGTCCTAAATGGAACACAGCTCACAGGCAAAACCTGTCACCTCCCCTCTGGGTACAGGCTTCTGCCTGTAAGGGAAAGCAGTTCTAAACACCAAGGATTCCTGTACAATTTGTGATCACTAGCGTCAAAGTAAAGCAAACAAAAGTAACACACAACTACCTGTACTTCATACACCCACTAATACAGACAGAGACTCTGCAAACACGTGTGGGAAACTGCTGTAGGGAGAAGTGGGGGGTGAAGGGCCATGAGGAGGAGGGGCTGGGCTTTTAACAGGCACCTCTGATTCCCTGGGGGTTTGGGGTTTGCCCCCAGGGGGATATATGACAATGACTGGAGACATTTCCAACTGTCACAACC